AAAATAGAGCCTCCCTGATTTTTGTTAGGGATCCACATCATAAAATCAGCCAAACTGTAGCTTAATTTCCCAGTAAAGCAACACTTATCAGCTTTTGGTAGTTTTCTTCTGGAGAATTTAGAAGATTCTCCAGGCCTTACTGAGTAGGCCCGACCCTTCTAAGTCATTTCCAAACGCCCCAGTGGCCACATTCATGGCTTATTGTTTTTTTTTTTTTCCGGCACGTAGGCCTCTCACTGTTGTGGCCTCTCCTGTTGCGGAGCACAGGCTCCGGACGCGCAGGCTCAGTGGCCATGGCTCACGGGCCCAGCCGCTCCATGGCATGTGGGATCTTCCCGGACCGGGGCACGAACCCGTGTCCCCTGCATCTTTAACACTGTGGGCACCCAAGGTTCCCCACATCTCCATCTTTGAAGGAAAAGGGGAATGAGCGACCATGAAAACACCACCGATGGAGTTTGTGCTGTGTGGTCATGGATCATCTCTGGAGGGCCCATGGCTGCAAGGACTGGGCAAGGTGACCAGTTAAATGAACCTGGCAGCCTTACACTGGCAGTACAGGGCACTGACCACGAGTCTGCACTGGAAATCATCCAAGCCTGGAATGCAGCTATACACAATGTGGATGGGTCCTAGCAATATAATATTAAGTGTGAAAATAAGCTTTAAAAAAGTACCTTTTAGAGCCTCCCTGGTGGCGCAGTGGTTGAGAGTCCGCCTGCCGATGCCAGAGACACAGGTTCGTGCCCCAGTCCGGGAAGATCCCACATGCCGTGGAGTGGCTGGGCCCATGAGCCATGGCCACTGAGCCTGTGCGTCTGGAACCTGTGCTCCACAACTGGAGAGGCCACAACAGTGAGAGGCCCACGTAAAAAAAAAAAAAAAAAAAAAAAAAAAAAAAGTACCTTTTGGGAATTTCCTGGCAGTCCAGTGGTTAGAACTCAGTACTTTCACTGCTGGGACCTGAGTTTGATCCCTGGTCAGGAACTAAGATCCTACAAGCCCCGTGGCATGGCCAAATAATAAATAAATAAATAATAAAGTACCTTTTGGAAAATATATTAATGTGAAAAAAATTTCCTTTCTTTCAAAAGCAAGTGAATGAAGGACTTTGCTTCAGGGAAGGTAGAATAGACACTCTGCTCCCTACTTTTCCCTCTAAGTACAACTAAAAACCCTGGACCTTATATATTTTAAAAAACATTTTGCAGCAACATGGATGGAACTAGAGATTATCATACCAAGTGAAGTGAGCCAGACAAAGACAACCATCATATGATATCACTTACATGTGGAACCTAAAAAAGTGATACAAATGAAATTATCTACACAACAGAGATAGACTCACAGACATAGAAAACAATCTTATGGTTATCAAAGGAGAAAGTTGGGGGGGAGGGATAAATTAGGAGGTTAGGATTAACATATACACACCACTATACATAAAATAGATAACCAACACTGACCTACTGTATAGCACAGGGAACTATAGTCAATATCTTAACAACCTTTAAGGGAAAAGGATCTTTATATATATTCTTTTATATATATTCAGCTATATAAATATATATATATATATATATATGCATGTGTGTGTGTGAATCACTTTGCTGTACACCTGAAACTAACACAATATTGTAAATCAACTATACTTCAGTTAAAAAAACCAAAAAACAAACAAAAAAAACCATAAGAAAACTGTAAGGTTGAGAGAAGAAGGCAGACTGGCTCAGGACCTGAAGAATGACATGGCAGTGAGTTCCCTGGGTTTTGTTTTCTCTTGCTTTGTTTTTTTTTTTTTTCTTTTGTTTGTTTGTTTTTTGCTTCATATCTGCCAGACTTGAAGTTGAAGAAGCCACTAACCTGGAAACACCTAAGGGCCCAGAAAAAGTCCCTCCCCTCCCCCAAGAGACCTCAACAGAAGCCTGCTGTGTCTAACCAAAGGACCAGGAAAGGAGAAGCCTAGCAGGACAGACAAACTTTAGACGATCACCGCTCAAGTCTCTCCAAACACCAGAGGCAAAACTGTGGCCCCACCCCCAGCAACAGAGGCTGAACGGGGAGCTTAGACTTCCCCCCTTGCCGGGCTATAACAAGGGGCCCCAATTCCTCCCTATGCTGTGGTGTCAGGAAGGGAGCTGGTACTTTCATCCCAATGCAGCCAATGAATGTCCTGCTCTCACGGCAGTGTCACTGGGGACCAAGTGAGGAACCTGGACTTCCACTACCACCTGGCAGTAATAAGCACCTCTCTCCAATAGAGGTGATTCTGAGCAGGTCTAATGGAGAATCAGGACATTACCACCCAGAGGTAATGAGGCCACCCGCACCCAATGCCAGGGGAGCAGCAGGGCACCCTTAATCTGCCCAGCTGGGGAGATGTCAACGGAGGCCTGGTTGGGAACCAACCCCCCACCCCCGCACAGCAGTAATGACACCCACTGGGTGTCAATGGAACTGAGTAGAGAGCCTGAACTTTCACTCCCACCTAGCAGGAAAGACATGGCACCTCTCTGGGACTTCCCTGGCGGTCCAGCGGTTAAGACTCCGAGCTTCCACTGCAGTTGGCACGGGTTCAATCCCTGGTCAGGGGAACTAAGATCCTGAATGCCACGGCATGGCCAAAAAGAAAAAAAAAAAAGGACATGGCACCTCTCTCTTGCCCTGTTGGACCAGTGTCAGAGGGAGCTAACTAAAATAGAAGGTTTAAATAAGATCCAGAGTCTCATAACATAATACCTCAAATGTCCAGGTTTCAACTAAAAATCACTCATACCCAAAACCAGTAAGATCTCCAACTGAATGAAAGAAGACAATCAGTAGATGCCCATACCCAGAAGAGAGATGTTAGATTTATCTGACAAAGATTTCTAAATCCTTCAACAAACAATTACAAACACACTTGAAACAAACAAAAAATTAGTCTCAGCAGATAAATAGAAAGTCTCAGCAAAAGAAAAAAATTTAAAAGATACCAAGAATCAAATAGAAATTTTAGAATTGAACACAATTACACACTCATTTCCACAAGTCGAGTGGATCCCATAATATATTATTTGGGGGAATCACAAGATAGAACAGCCAATCCGTGCATCTCAGCCTAAGTTAAACTTAATTCAGAACCAGTGGATGGGAAGCCCTAGCCAGCTTTGAGCACACTCCTTTTGATGCAGACACAAGGCAGTTATTCTCAAGGGATTATCTGCAGCCCACAGGACCTTCTTATTCCCTTTGGTTGCTCATGTAGCCACTATTACAGAAGCCCTAGATGGCTTGGAATTATTGGCTGCTAATGAGGAGGGCCCAAGACTCAGGTCTTCATTTCTCAAGGCCACAAATCCTACTACTTAGAGAAGCCTCCATCTCAGATTTTCCAGGGTCACCCCGGACCTGATATTGGTGACTCCATGACCTAGGCTTCCCCCGTGATCTGATTTTGGGTAACAACCCCTGGGAGCTCCATGCTCTTCTATAGAGACTGGACAGAGCATCCAACATCCTCCATTCCTGAATGCAAATCCCCAAGGAAGACACAGGACACAGTGGTCCATTCCCTCACCTGACCAATGGCATTCCCTGACCAATGGCAATCTCCTCAGGCTTGCTAGGGAAGCATCATACCCCTGGGATCCCAGCCACCACCGGAGGACAATCACCTCTATACAGCCATGGTGGGCCATTGTTCCCCACATAATAGGCAAACTTCTGTGGCCTTGACTGACGATGAATCCCAAATCACGGTACTCCCAGAGATCCCATTAAAGAGAGGAACTCTATCCTCTCTGGGGAGTTACAGGACATAAAATTGTAGGCAAACAAGTCTACCTAACCTGACCTGATTAGGTCATCTAAGTCATTTCATTACTGAGAATCACAGTTTCCTCAACTGTAAAATATGGGTAATGATTATGCCTGCTTCATACATCATAAGGACACTTCTATAGCATGTGTGAAAGTATCTGATACCCTGGGGAGTGATCCACCACTGTGAGGTCTGACGGGGTGATCCCTTGGGCAGGTTTCCACATTTGGGATATTTGAGACACTGCATGAGTCACAGCATCTACGAATTTTATTGGTTCCTGAATAAGACAGTTTTATTGGTCTCACACTTCTATGCCTGTGGACAATAAAGAACTTTACTTAGAGTTACTTCATCAGTTTGTTTCAGGGTGGCTAATGGATCCTATGGAGTTTTATGGTCTGTACATGAGAGGTTGGATGTTTGCTGCAGGGGGAAACCAGCAATTTAGCCCCTTGGCCCAACAGAAGTCAGAAAAATATCAGTAAATACCTGGCAGTGAGCTTCTTGAGGGCAGAGGTTGTGTCTTTTTTTTTTTTTTTTTTTTTTTTTTTTTTTTGCGGTACGCAGGCCTCTCACTGTTGCGGCCTCTCCCGTTGCGGAGCACAGGCTCCGGACGCGCAGGCTCAGCGGCCATGGCCCACGGGCCCAGCCGCTCCACGGCATGTGGGATCCTCCCGGACCGGGGCACGAACCCGTGTCCCCTGCATGGGCAGGCGGACTCCCAACCACTGCGCCACCAGGGAAGCCCAGAGGTTGTGTCTTATTCAACTTTTTATTCCTGGCATAAACCCAGTGGTTGGCACAACGTGGGTACTAAGTAAATACTTATTTAATGGACAGACAGAAATATTTTTAAAGGAATACGGTTGTTACTTGCTTCCTGGAATTGCTTTTCTCCATAGTCAGCCTAGGCATTTATTATTTGCCTTGTTTTTGTATTGTATTTGTTACACGGGGTCAATATTTTATCTCACACTTATTGGAGAAAAGGCATCATGTGAATATAAATAGAAAATGTACAAAAGTACCTATGTCTGGTTCATAATTCAAATCCCCAATTATTCTTTTTCTTCATGTAAACTAGAAGTAATCTGAAACAAATTAAAGATCCAGCCTTCATTCATAGATCATCTCCCTAATACTTTCAGGCAAAAGTAGTTTCAGATCCATGTAATAGAAGTTTTTGACAATTGAAAAGTATTTCTCTTGGAGATTTTATTAGGTGTAAGAGGAAAGCCAATAAGAGACATGCATTTACATGTCTAAATTTATATAAGTACTTGCATGTTTATAAATTGGTATTAAAACACTGCTCTTAACACACAAGGAGATTTCACAACGTAGGGATGTGCCAAGCCGAAGATTAAAAAGGAGGAATGCAAAGTAGAAGATTCCCCCCCCCAAAAAAAGCAAACATGGTAGAACCTCTCAATGAACTGGGGTTTGACTATTAAGAATAAGTCAATTCTTTCTGAACCCCAGAGCTGGCAGGAGGCGTCTTGTGAGCAAGATTGATCAAAATACTCCTCTTCTTCTGGCGATCACTGACAAGAAAAGCAGCAAGGCTTTGAGCTTTCCTTTCAGCAACCAGCAGTATGTTTAGACATGGCACCTTTTTCCATCTGATAGTTTTAGGTAGTCAAACTTTTGCCATGCTGAAAATTCAATCGTATCTTTCCACTGTCACTGACCTTAATGAAAACTAGAAGATACGGTCTTTTGCAATGAGAATGCTTGACTACATGTAGACTTCTGTTTCTGAGGATGGCATCATAGACTGTGAAAAGAAATAGAAAAAATCATCCACAAATTCTGTGTTCAATGTATGAAAAAAATCACATAGATTTTATTGTTCCTGGTGTTTTGAATAATCTATGATAAAGAGCAGTGATAAGGCTTATATGACTGTAGGGTCTCTTGAAATGAGTATAAAGGTTCTATAGGTGAACATCAGATCAGATCAGTTCCTTCGTTTTTAGAAAAACACTAATGAGAGCTTTCCAGGATGTAGCAACAGGAAAGCCCTCTTCAGCTTGCCCACTAAGTGAGTGTAGGCTGCACCTGGTATCTGTGGGGTACATTCTGTTAGACTGCACCTCAAGCCTGTGTCTGGGACCAGCCTGTGTGTCCTTCCTCAGGGGAGGGCAAGAAGAGCTGCCAGGTTTTCCCCCGGGAAATATTAGCAGAGCACAACACAGCATCTGCCCTATCCAGCCAGTCACCTCTTATAAAATGCCACAAGGAGCATTCCTGGACCCTGACATGTACAAAAGTACATATCTGTCATTTTTTCTGCAGTGTCCAGGAGGCTTTTTGGAAAATGCCCTCTTAGGTCATGAGGATTCTTAGGGTGGGAGGAATTAGAAGTCATCGAAGAATCAGCAGGGTCCGTGAGAAGCCACTTCCCAGAGACATGAATAGCAACCAAAGACAGGAGCTCCACTCAGGACTGACAGTGGTGGAAAGGTCAAACACTGAGTAGGGCAGAGACTGAACAGAAGAGTCCAGGAAGCCCCTGCCTAAAAGAGACTGTCCATAACTTCAGGACCAAATGCCACTTGGAGCAGCATCTAGGGGGAAACAGGTTTGGCTCTTAGCCTAAGCCTGGGTTCCTAGCTTGGTCCCTCCATTTGTCCCTCTCCTGGCACGGAGCTTCTAAAACCCTTAGAATTTCCTAAGCGATGAGAACCATAAAGTTGTCTTTTGCTATTTTAATGAAAGCCCCTAAGCATGGGGGCTGGTTGCCAGTGGAGCCAATCTGGTGATTTTAGGGTTGGAACTTTCAATCCCACCCCTCTACTTGGGAGGGGAGAGGGGCTGAAGCTTGAGTTAAGTCACCAATAACCAATGATTTAATCAGTCCTGCCTCTGCAATGAAGCCTGCATAAAACCCAAAAGGAGAGGGTTCAGAGAGCTTCTGAGTTGGTGAACATGTGGGAATGTGGGGAGAGTGGTCCTCGAGAGGTCATGGGAGCTCTGCACCCCTTCCCCATCCCTTGCCCTACAGCCTCTCTTCCATCTGGCTCTTCCTGAGTTATATCCTTTGAAATAAATAGGTAATCTAGTAAGTATAAAGTTCTCTTGAGTTCTGTGACCCATTCTAGCAAATTAATGGAACCCAAGGAGAGGTCGTTGGAACTTCTGATCTACAGCTGGTAGGTCAGAAGCCCAGGTGCAACCTGGACTTACAATTGGCTTCTGAAGTTGGAGATGGGGGTGGAGGGAAGTCTTATAGGACTGAGACCTTAATCTTTGGGATCTGATACGATTTCCAGGTAGATAGTGTCAGAATTGAGTTAAATTATAGGACTCACAGAATTGCTTGGGATGGAAAAAAACACACACCTCAGAATTGGTGTCAGAATTGCATGGGGCATGGCAGGGAATATCTTCAGCTGTTTCTAATATTTAGTCTCACTTAAGAACAGGCGCAACAAGCTTTCTTTTCAATACCCGCCCTCACCCCCACTCCGCCCCAGCTTCCCCACTGAGTGTCCGCCAGGTCTTTGAAAGGGAGGTTGTCCACACAGAGCAGCTGAGGACTGAATGAGCCTGAGGGCATTGGCATGCATCATTTCCGTGGAGCTGTTGCCAGGCAACATGCTGGCTGCCAACCAGGGGAGAAACTTCCAGGATGCTCATGTGCCTCCTCGGCGCTGGGTTTGATTGGCCCTGGTGACGTGGTGTTTTTGCAGATGGGGCCAGGGCCTTCCCGAGTTTTCACACACTCTAATAAATTTGAGTTGTTGTTGGTGTGTGCTACACCTTGGTAGACAAAATAAAGAGAAAGGATTCCACTGTTTGGTAGGGACATGGTTTCTAGTGGGGTACATTATTTATCTGCTTTTTATCCCAACTCTGCCAACAACAGAGAGGAGACCAGCATTCTCACACCCTCTCCCCAAATGTAAAGTTCAGGAACTCCTGGTCTCTGGGTCTGGATCCTTGCTCAGAGTGCCCTGTCTTCTCGTAGCCTCACCATCTACGCCTTGGGGAGTGAACTAGGAAATCCCAGTCCCCAAAGTCTGAGCTGCAAATATGGAGTCAGTGACTTCCCCAAGTCATAAATATCCTTTGGTTCATTTATTCATTCTATCAACATCTACCGAATACCTCTTATGTGCCATTTAGGGGATACAGGAAAAAAGACCCAGTCCTTGCTCTCAAGATGTTTTCAGGCTGAAATACCTACCAGGCAGCATGGAAACCAACCTGGGACGCGGGGTTGGAGGACCGATCTGAACCTTGCTGGGTGAGATTGAAGATTCTTCATGCATTGACGGATTCAACAAATATATACCGAACACACACAACGTGCTAGACTCTGATCTGGTCTCTGAGGACTCAGTCATGAATGAAGCCGCCAAGTTCACTGCTCTCACACATTCCAGGTGTGGCAGGGCAGGGGACCCGGGAGAAGGCAGGGGCTGCAGAGGAGACAGATTAGCAACAGGTCAGCCAATGCACAACCCATTTATTCCATGGGTTTTATTGCGATCTCATATGTGTTGGGCAGGGTGTTAGGTGCTAGGGTTGTAAAAACAAATGACACACAGTCCCTCGGGGGGGGGACACACAATGTCCCCGAGGGCATTTCTGCCAGAGGGAGGAGCCTGTCCATAGGCAGAGAGCAAATGACGGGGCTGCTTGGGGGAGATCAAGCCATTCAGCAGAGCTGCGGCATAGGGCGTGGTGGTTGAGGAGGCTCCTTCTTTTAATTGTGGAACTCATCCCTTGGGCAATCTGGGGCAAGGAGTCCTTCCTGGAAATTTCATATAAACCCTCTTGAAGTATCTATTGGGGTAGACATTTAGGAACAAACTGTAGGCATTAGGGGTGTATAAAAGAGCATCATTCAGCTTAAGGTGTGGCTCTGCTTGCCTGAAATACACATGAAGAATAAGAGTTTCTAACACTCCAGATTCAGTTCCTTCCACCCTCCCTCCCTTCCTCCCTTCCTTCCTTCCTACCTGGCCCCATTCTCAGAAACTGGTGCAAATAAAAACAAGTGTAGGACTAGAAAATGTCAAAATGAATATAACTAGGATCTGCCCTCTGAGGTGTGGCAGGAAACAATATTGCTTAATGTTTGCAAAATGTCAGGACGTTCTTGAATAAAAGGCCCTATATAAGTTCAAAGTCTTTATAATTATTTGATGATTACTATAATTTATGATTAATTTATAATTACTATAATTTATAATTACTATAATAACTATAATTTATAATTACTATAATTGATGATTACTTACTAAAGTAAGACAGTCATAAATCTCTCAGTAAGAGGGTGAAGTCAACACTTTTTGAAAGAGGCAGCAGGCCAGGGACTCTATATAAGGGGTGATGGGCCGATGGTCTCTAAGGACAAGAGCTCACTGAAAACAGGTGAGCGGTGGAACTCTGCTCAGGCCTATTTAGCATGAAAAATCCAGGATATGGTGATCAACTGATAATGACTGTGTCTCTGCTGCTAAGTAAATAAGAAAAGTTGGAGTCACAGAAAACTCAAGAACCTTGCAAGGAAAACACAAGTTATAAAAGATTATGTAGATGATAGAATGAGTTTTTATTTACAATACTTATCATGTTTAGATTTCTTTTAATTTAAGTATATAGTTACTTTTGGATTTGTGAGCATGGGTGAAAGAAAGAATGGGAGAACAGAAACATGTGTGCATTTAATGGGAACTGTTATAGGCCATATGAGATGCGTTTTTTGTGAATTCAAAGCCAAAGGACAGAGGTGTTTATGTTTTTCCAGATGTAACCTCTCCCCCACCCTCAGGCTCCCTCCTATTTCATTAACCCCACCCACCTTAAGTGACGCCTCTATAACGAACTCCTATCTTCTCTGGAGGCTGTGAAAGATCTAAGGCCAACAAGTCTAACAGCTTAAACTTGGCAGAGTCAAAGGCTAGAAAGGCTTCAGGAGTCTTGCATGGAAGAGAGGCCATGGTCTCTTAGATTTGATCTTTGTTCAGAACGGGATATCCCTGGGACAGTCCTTCGCACTGGGAGAGGAGCCTTCCTGGAGTTCCCAACTCTGGGAATCCCAGATGGGCAAAGTGAGGAAAGCAGGCACAGAGGCTGAAGGGAGAGAAGGAACTCCTTCCCAGGTTTCTCTCAGCCAGGAAAGGATTTGCCTGCAGAGAGTGAAGAGAAGTGATCGAACCTTCCAGGCTGGCAATCCTTGCTCACAATCCAAATTCAGTAAATATATATTTTCATGGACCATGTGAAAATGCAACTCTGCAAAAAGTGAGTTTAAAAGGAGCCTTATATCTGACTCTAGAAAGTTAGATTTTTCTCAAGACAATGTGGTCCTAGTGGCAGAAACATTTTATGTGTGTGGCTGTCATTGCTGTTGTTTTCATTTAAGGGCTGTTGGTGCACAGCAGTCTGCGGGGCAATGCTAGGGTGTGTGTGAGGAGGGAGAGCATGAGGGGATATGGCTAAGATGTGATGCTACTGGAAAGGCCTTTCAGTCCATAGGGAGCAAGCAAGAAAGCTGAGTTAGCAATAAAACCAGGGTCAGGGTGACAGTACAACGTGGAGCAGAAGAGACCTGCCTGGTGTATGTGTAGAGAGCAGTCCTCAATCCTTCCAGGACCAAGTGGGGTGGGGCACGATGGGGCAGGGCCACCTCCATCTCCCAGCACCTTAGGATGTTAACACAGCAACTTTTCTAGGCTGGTCGGAGGACCCTAAGGACCTAGGATGCCTATGGTTCAAGGTTTGTGGGGATAATCTGGGAGAACATTCATGGAAAAGGAATGGGGGTTCTCTTGTTACAAAGAACAAAGATCTTTATTTCCATCTTTTCCAGAAACATTGTTTAACTGAGGAGGAAATAGTCCATGACACCTTACAAATCTAAACACTGCTTTGAGAATTACAAAGTGCTCAGTGGAGGAAGGGTGCGTGGAGGCCACCAGGAACCTGAACTGGCCCCAAGTGGTGTTCAGGTTGTCAGTTTCCAGCGTGCCCTCCACCTTGACACCCCCATGCTGTCCGTCACAGTTTTGCTCTCCAGAAAGGGAGAAGAGGGATGCTGTGCTTGGCATCATGAACACAGTGCTGGACTGACCTGACGTTTTGATAATGGTTCCAAGTGTCTGGAGCCACAGGGGTTTGACCGGATCAGTCCTGGGTGACCGATGGACTCTCCCCACACACACTCCAGTGACGCCTCAACACTCCCTTCTGAACATAGACTCCTTTTTGGCACCTGGAAAGTTGCGTCACAGAGTTTGGGTTCCTTCGATATGCTATGTTGATGTCTTATTGTCCCTTCTTGCTCTTTCCTGATGTAATTGAAAAAAAACAAACAAAGTAACTCTGTGTTCCTAAGTCACTGGCACATGTATTTACACAGACTCTTTTCATTCAAGTGCTTACGCAACACAGACATTTAGCTCCATGCCTGGAAAATGAAACGAGCTTTCATGTTGCAATAAAAGCTAAATTTTTCCACTTGTGTTTCCAAGAAGAATTTTTTTCCCCTGGAAAAGCAGTACAAAGAGTAAAATGCTCTGGGCTTTGCATCTGGTTGCAAGCAGTCCTTTTTTCGGATGGGTCCTTTCCATAAAGCCAGTGAGAAGCCTCTGTAAATATACACTTTCATGAAACTATGAGCTTTTCCTGTACCTACATGGCTCTTTCTCTGCTCTTTTTCCTGGGACAGAGTGTCCTCTCTCATTCAGTGCTGGGGGCTCAGTGGGTGATTCCTGTTAGGTGATTGAATCTGAGAGTTCCTGTAAACACAGGTAAAATGCAAAGTTCCTGTATCTTTCTGGTGTTCTGGACTGGGCACGACATTTTCTACTCAACTAAGGGAAATCAGATAGACTATCTCAATGTTGTAGGGAAGAAAAACAAAAAGCACGGCTTTTTGTTAATTCAAATGACTTCCTTAATACCTCTTCTTCATCTTGACATATTCTCTTCCTGGGTGTTTGGAAGGAACCACCCACAATACTAACCTTCAAACAAAAGAGATGAGAAAAGCATCATGAAAGTGCCGAGTACATATTTATACACACACCCCACTTGTAATGATAGTAGTAAATCAAAAGGATCGTAGCCAAGCTCAGCTGACCAAGGGAGATGATGGGAGCAGCCAGCAGTAGAAGGGGCTCGTGGAAGGTGGAGGCTTTGGGGGCAGGTGGCTGGCTCCTCAGGCATCCCCTGGGGTCAGCGGCAAGCTATTCTGGGTGGCATTTGTATATTCATTTGGTAGCTAGTGGGGGAACCAGGGCTCTTTGTACACGAGGAAGGTGATTAGAGGAACAGCTGGGATGAGAAAGTATTTGAGAGCAAGTGCTTGATGGTGACCAGTTGTCCGATCTCTTGTCTGCTGACCCCCTTATGAGTTCAATCCTGGACCCCTATCATGACCTGACTTCGTGAGGATTTGACTTTGCTGGTGGAAATAGACTGTTTATTGGTCTCCCCAGGCTCTGGCCCAGGTTTGTTCCTGCCTAGGAGTCCTATAGAGGGAGAACGGGAAACATGGCTCAAGGTGACCAAAGGGGTCTGAGATTCCCAGGCTGGGGGCTTAGAGCAGTGGGGAATGTCTTCCAGCTTCTTCTTCTAACCAAAGCAAAGATGGCAAGGCACCAAGGAAAGCGTAACCTTTCCTCTTAACTCAAGGAAAAAGAACCCAAAGTAAGAGGAGCACTGATGAGAAATTCTACTTTTGGTATTACCTTTTGATAATGAAGAGGCTATTGGGATGAGGCACATGCATCAGAAACTGGCTTTTCAAGATCTGCAGTCAGATCACCGTATTTCTCAGTGTTGAGAATCAAAGTATCTTGGTTTCTTGAAAGAACCTGTATTTGGTAACTCGACAGTATGTTGAGTTCCTGTGGGCTGAGCAGGAGTCTCGTCATTTTTAAGCTAATTAAAAGGATGGATGGAGCACATGTCCCGCTCTGGCTTATTTCATTATGATTCAAATAATTAATTTTCTTAGTTCAGACAGGGGGACACACATTCATTCTTTTCACACTCTTCCATAGAAACACTACATAATGTTATGACAACAATTGATATCTTCACATCTTTGAGCTAATTTCTCTTTTAAAATCATTTTAGGATCTGTAGTGCCAAGTCATCAATATGTCTGTGCTGTGGCTACTTCTGGGCCTTCTTGCCTTTACTGGTGAGTGTGTTGCATTTTTCCCAAATGACCTTGGAGATGGGAAAGATAAGCATGGGAACATAGTGGTACTTCTGATACTTAAAACTGCAGTGGAAAAAAAAAAAAAACTGCAGTGGAAAATGTTCTTTTTCCCCCCAAGCTGTTCAACAAATCCTGGAGTTGCTAACAGCCACTGACAAGCAGCCTCTTGCCAGGTGCCTCACAAAAGGAGGGGGCTCTGCAGAATGTGGGGTGGACTTACAGAAGCATTGCTTGGGCCAGACTTTAAATCCATACCATTGAAAAATGCTCACTGTTCCTCTATAAAAATTCTTTCACCAGAAATATTTATTGAATTTATTAATAGACCATATAATTCTACAGAAGCATTGACGTGATTTACCAATGTAAAACTAATGTAATGCAATACAAAACTAGCAACACTGGGATCAAGGAGATGGGACTCAGCTAACCACTGAGGCTGACATCGTTGCCATGCTTGAATTTCAGATTCGGTCCTAAGGTTCCTTGCAACTGGGGCAAAGAGGAAAAGGCAATTTTTTTTTTTTTTTGACAAAGAAAAGTAGGAAGCATAGTTCCTCAAGAGAAGCAAATTTTTTCCTGGCTCTGAATTCTAAAAACTTCTCAGATAGGGCCAGCCTTACATTCATTCCTTTCTTTCTTGAACCATCCATTCAACAAACATTTTTAAAAATTTTACAAGTAATTTTGGGACTATAAGGAACTTTGGGTGAAGGAGACAAGATGGCAGAGTAGAAGGACATGAGCTCACCTCGTCTTATGGGAACACCAAAATCACAACTAACTGCTGAACAACCATCAACAAAAAAGTGCTAAAGATACCCTACATCCAAAGACAAAGAAGAAGCCACAATGAGACAGTAGGAGGGGTGCAATCATGATAAAATCAAGTCCCATACACTCCAGGTGGGCGACCCACAAACTGGAAAATAATTATACCACAGAAGCTCTCCCACAGGAGTGAAAGTTCTGAGCCTCACATGAGGCTCTCCAGCTTGGGGTCTGGCAATGGGAGGAGGAGCCCCCAGGGAATCTGGCTTCGAAGGCCAACAGGATTTGATCACAGGAATTCCACAAGACTGGGAGAAACAGAAACTCCACTCTTGGAGGGTGCACACATGGTCTTGTGCACACCAGGACCCAGGATAAAAAGCAGTGACCTCATAAGAGACTGGACCAGACTTACTTACTAGTATTGGAGGGTCTCTTGTGGAGGTGTGGGGGGCAGCTCTGGCTCACTGCAGGGACAAGGACACTGGCAGTAGCAGTTCTGGGGAGTACTCATTGGTGTGAGCCCTCTTGGAGGCCGCCATTTTCTCACCAACACCTGGCTCCACGCTACAGCCTGTAGGCTCCAGTGCTGGGATGCTTCAGGCCAAACAACCAACAGGGTGGGAACACAGGCCCACCCAACAGCAAACAGGCTGCTTAAAGTCTTCCTGAACACACAGCTGTCCAACAAACCACACCCCCTGACACATCCCTGCCCGCCAGAGGGACAAGACCAAGCTCCACCCACCAGTGGGCAAGTACCAGTCTCTCCCACCAGGAAGCCTGCACAAGCCTCTTAGACAGCCTCATCCACCAGGGGGCAGACAGCAGAAGCAAGAAAACTGCAACCCTGCAGCCTGTGGAGGAAACTGCAATCACAGAAAGTTAGACAAAATGAGATGGTAGAGGAATATGTTCCAGATGAAGGAACAAAATAAAACTCCAGAAGAACAACTAAGGGAAGTGGAGATAGGCAATCTACCTGAAAAAGAATTCACAGTAGTGGTAATAAAGATGATCCACAATCTTGGAAAAAGAATGGAGGCACAGATCAAGAAGATACAAGAAATGTTTAACAAAGACCTAGATGAACTAAAGAACAAACAACAGAGATGAACAATACAATAACTGAAATGAAAAATACACTAGAAGGAATTAGTAGCAGAATAACTGAGGCAGAAGAACAGATAAGTGAGCTGGAAGACAGAATGGTGGAAATCACTGTGGTGGAATAGAATAAAGAAAAAAGAATGAAAAGAAATGAGGACAGTCTGAGATCTCTGGGACAACATCTAATGCACCAACATTCACATTATAGGGGTCCCAGAAGGAGGAGAGAGAAAGGACCTGAGAAAATATTCGAAGAGATAATAGCTGAAAACTTCCTTAACATGGAAAAGGAAACAGTCACCCAAGTCCAGGAAGTGCAGAGGGGGCAAGATAAGCCCAAGGAGGAACATGCCAGGACACATAGTAACCAAATTGACAAAAATTAAAGACAAAGAAAAAATATTAAAAGCAACAAAGGAAAAGCAACGAATAATGTTCAAGGGAACTCTCATAAGGTTTTCAGCTGATTTCTCAGCAGAAACTCTGCAGGCCAGAAGGGAGTGGCACGATATATTTAAAGTGATCAAAGGGAAGAACCTACAACCAAGAATACTCTACCCAGCAAGGCTCTCATTCAGATTCAACAGAGAAATCAAAAGCTTTACCGACAAGCAAAAGCTAAAAGAATTCAGCACCACCAGACCAGATTTGCAACAAAGGCTAAAGGAACTTCTCTAGGTGGAAAAGAAAGGCCACAACTAGAAACCAAGAAATTACAAATGGAAAAACTCACTGGTAAAGGTAAACATACAGTAAAGGTAGGAAATCATCTGCACACAAATTTGATATCAAAATCAGCAATTGTGAGGACAGCACAAATGCAGGATATTGGAAATGCATCTGAAATTGAAAGACCAGCAACTTAACACAATCTTGCTTACATACAGACTGCTATATCAGCAGCACTGAAAGAGGGCATCAGACCAGTCCCTACGCTACATCTGTCACCTCTGTTTTCCAACTCTGCCTCTTACCATTACCCTGAAAACAGCTGTGAAATGTCTGCTCGTCCCTTCCTTTGCCTAAACTTGTAGCTTTACTATTTATCCTCAGGAAGATTGAAGGTGGCGATGGTTCTGCCAAAGGGGAGGAGAGAAAAAGGGAAATGAAAAAGTAGCCCTGAGCCCAGGAAGCTGCATCACCCTCTGCCTCTCTCCTTGCAGGACCCTGGCCTTCATGCCCCACCTCCTGGATCAGCAAGGCCCAGGTTTCCCAGATGACTGAGGTCCTGACTGTTAGAATCAAAGAAATCCAGAGGAGGTTTCCAACCTGGACCCCTGACCAGCACCTGAGAGCTTTGTGTAACCCATGGGTTGGTTTCCCAGCGTGGAGTTAATAAGTACAAACATAATTCATTGCAGCAGATTCTCCCAAACCTCAGTTGCCTCCTAAAAAGCAACTAGGAAAGAGAATCTGAGTTAACTGCTGAGCACCCTGCCACAGCGAGGGGCTGTGGGCTTGGCATTAACCCATCTCACAAATTCCAGGTGGACTCCGTGACTACACCCGAAGCAGCCAGGACCTGAGCTGTGACTTCTGCAATGGTGTCCTTGCACGAGCCAAATACTTCAGAAGACAGGGCTTCTAACGCTTCAGCTCAGACCCAAGATCATTATTGTGCAGGCAGCTTCAGCTGTTACACAGATAAAAGTAGCCAATGAGGGCTTCCCTGGTGGCGCAGTGGTTGAGAGTCCACCTGCCGATGCAGGGGACACGGGTTCGTGCCCCGGTCCGGGAAGATCCTACATGCTGTGGAGTGGCTGGGCCCATGAGCCATGGCCACTGAGCCTGCGCGTCTGGAGCCTATGCTCCACAACAGGAGAGACCACAACAGTGAGAGGCCTGCGTACCGCAAAAAAAAAAAAAGTAGCCAATGAGGCCAGTAATTCTGAATCTGAGTTTGACCCAAATGTCATCAAAATAACATGAATCACATTAAAGAATTATTATCTGCATTTTGTGGTCTGGTGTGTGCAAATAAAAGGCTGTGTCTCTTTAAAGGTATTTCCATGGATGTGAGCTGTAATGTGGACTTCTGTGAAATGAATCCTGTGTCTCATTGGCTTGCATTGTCAGACTTAGCAAATAAAAATATTGGAATCCCAGTTAAATTTGAATTCCAGATAAAAAATGATTTTTTTTCAGTGTAAGTCCCACGCAATATTTAGAACACATTTATACTAAAATATTATGTGTTGTCTATTTGAAATTCAAATATAACTGGGCATATGGTTATTTTAGGTGGCAACTCTATCACTGATTTCTTTGATAAAAATCATAGTTTCAAATTTTAATTGAAAACTTTTGATGAGGAAAAGGGTAAGAGGGTAGCCAGTCCTATCTGCTGGGGGGGGGGAATAGTTTTGCAAAAGGAGGGAAGGGCACAATCTTTATAAAAATGACATAGCCACTGAGGACATGACAAAAACTGGTTAGAACCAACTAGGTCCAAGATGGCAGAAGGTTCTACTTCCAGCAGACTTTGAGCCTCATTATACGTTCATTGTAATACATTAGCTAAATGACATACCCAGGGGTGCCATGACTGTTCTGAGGCCAACCATAAAAGGCCAAAAAGTGGGCAGTGGCCCAATTCCTGGAAATCTCTGCCTTTTCTCCAAAATAATTGGAATAATCTTCTCACTCATTAGCCTATGAAATTAACCCATAAAAACTAACCACACCATATTTTGGGGTCTCTCGTCTTCTGAGATGGCCCACACTCCATGGAGTGTGTTTCTCCCAGGGCTGCTCTCACTTTCGGAGATGACCCCCATGCCCTGTGGCCACTCTCACCTTTTGAGACGGACCACATTCTGTCTATGGAATGTGTACCTCTCTAAATAAATCTAATTATAACCTATCACTTTGCCTCTCACTGAATTCTTTCTGCGATGAGACATAAAGAACCTGAGCTTCATTAAGTCCTGAGACCAGGTGTGTGATCTGTAAAAGACAGTGGGATGGTGAAAAACTGAAAGCATTTCCACTAAGATCAGGAACAAGACAAGGATGTCCACTCTCACCACTCTTATTCAACATAGTTTTGGAAGTCCTAGACAGCAATCAGAGAAGAAAAAGAAATAAAAGGAATACAAATTGGAAAAGAAGAAATAAAACTGTCACTGTTTGCAGATGACATGATACTATACATAGAAAATCCTAAAGATACCACCAGAAAACTACTAGAACTAATCAATGAATTTGATAAGGTTGCAGGATACAAAATTAATGCACAGAAATCTCTGACATTCCTATACACTAATGATGAAAAATCTGAAAGAGAAATTAAGGAAACAATTCCATTTATCATCACAACAAAAAGAATAAAATATCTGAGAATAAACCTACCTAAGGAGGTGAAAGACTTATACTCAGAAAACTATAAGACACTGATGAAAGAAATCAAAGATGACATAAACAGATGGAGAAATATACCATGTCCTTGGACTGGAAAAATTAATACCATGAAAATGACTATACTACCCAAAGCAATCTACAGATTCAATGCAATCCCTATCAAACTACCAATGGCATTCTTCACGGAATTGTAAAAAAATTTTTACAATTTGTATGGAAACACAAAAGACCCCAAATAGCCAAAGCAATCTTGAGAAAGAAAAACGGAACTGGAGGAATTGGGCTCCCTGACTTCAAACTATACTACAAAGCTACAGTAATCAAGAAAGTATGGTACTGACACAAAAACAGAAATGTAAATCAATGGTACAGGATAGAAAGCCCAGAGATAAACCCATGCACATATGGTCACCTAATTTATGACAAAGGAGGCAAGAACATACGATGGAGAAAAGACAGCCTCTTCAATAAGTGGTGCTGGGAAAACTGGACAATGTAAAAGATTGAAATTAGAACACTCCCTAACACCATACACAAAAATAAATTCCAAATGGATTAAAGACCTAAATTTAAGACCAGACACTACAAAACTCTTAGAGGAAAACATAGGAAAAACACTCTTTGACATAAACCACAGCAAGATCTTTTTTGACCCACCTCCTTGAATAATGGAAATGAAAACAAAAATAAACAAGTGGGACCTAATTAAACTTCAGAGCTTTTGCACAGCAAAAGAAACCATAAACAAGATGAAAAGACAGCCCTCGGAATGGGAGAAAATATTTGCAAATGAAACAACAGACAAAGGATTAATCTCCAAAATATACAAACAGATCATGCAGCTCAGTATCAAAAAAACAAACAATTCAATTAAAAAATGGATGGAAAACGTAAATAGACATTTCAATAAAGAAGATATACAGATGGCCAAGAGGCACATGAAAAGATGCTCAACATCACTAATTATAAGAGAAATGCAAGTCAAGACTACAATGAGGTTTCACCTCACACTGGTCAGAATGGCCATTATCAAAAAATCTAGAAACAATAAATGCTGGAAAGGGTGTGGTGAAAAGGGAACCCTCCTGCACTGTTGGTGGGAATGTAAATTGATATAACCAGTATGGAGAACAGTATGGAGGTTCCTTAAAAAACTACAAATAGAACGACCATATGACCCAGCAATCCCACTACTGGGCATATACCCTGAGAAAACCATAATTCAAAAAGAGACGTGTACCACAATGTTCTTTGCAGCACTGTTTACAATAGCCAGGACATAGAACCAACCTAAATGTCCATCAACAGATGAATGGATAAAGAAGATGTGGCACATATATACAATGGAATATTACTCAGCCATAAAAAGAAATGAAATTGAGTTATTTGTAGTGAGGTGGATGGACCTAGAGACTGTCATCCAGAGTGAAGTAAGTCAGAACAAGAAAAACAAATACCGTATGCTAACACATATATATGGAATCTAAAAAGAAAAGAAAAAGGTTCTGATGAACCTAGTGTCAGGGCAGGAGTAAAGATGTAGACATAGAGAATGGACTTGAGGACATGGGGGTGGGGGGAAGCTGGGGCGAAATGAGAGTAGCGTGGACATATATACACTACCGAATGTAAAATAGTTAGCTAGTGGGAAGCAGCAGCATCGCACAGGGAGATCAGCTCAGTGCTTTGTGATGACCTAGAGGGGTGGGATGGGGAGGGTGGGAGTGAGGCTCAAGAGGGAGGGGATGTGGGGATGTATGTATGTATATGGCTGATTCACTTTGTGGTACAACAGAAACTAACACAGTATTGTGAAGCAATTATACTCCAATAAAGATCTATTAAAAATATAATAATAACAATAAAAGCACCATCTATACACCTAAAAAGAAAAGAAAAAAAAAAAGACAGTGGGTTTGAGTTCCAATCTGAGTTGTGCGGTTTCAGTTTCAGGAGAGTCACTTTTAAACTTTGCAGCATTTTCTTAACCCCAGGTCTCTCTGACATCTAAGTTTACCTCTTCCTCTCCTTCCCTGAACCACAATCTCCTACGTCCAATTTCCCCCAACTCAGCTAAGCTGTCCCCTTCTTTGGGGCACTTAATTAAGACTGATAGAGTCAGGCCACCGGAGAGTGATTCCTCAGTTGGAGCTGCCCTCAAGGATATTGACCACTATACTGACAAATTATTTAATTCTAGGGGTTGTACGCTATAAAAGTAATTAACATCCCACTCTATCAACACTTTACAGAGTGTCATTCTAGAACAACTATCATCATTTCAAGCAAAAACTTGTTTTGGAAATGACTGTCTCACCATATATGAAGCACTATATCAGAGTCTCTGCCCTCAGGAACCGTTAAATCATAACATTTGGTTGGGAATAGCAGCCAGCCACACATGTGCACAAGGTACAGATGCAGGGCGGACATCAGGTGATCATGTAAAGTGCTTACCTTCTGTGTTACGGGCTTGTGGAACCTGCTCATGACCATCATGACCTTGAACTCCTGGGCTGCTTCCTTCTTGTCTCCCCACCGTCTGTCTTCCAAGACCCACTTTCAAGGCTGAATGCAGTGAAGGGATCCTCACTAAGGACAATATGACTGAGAAGACCTCAGGAATACACCTTTGGAGATTTCCATTTCCCTGGCACAATGGCAATGGACTGGGAGGCACTGGTTACGAGTCCACGTGTGAACCAGATGGGTAAAGTCCTGCAATCACCAGGGCAGCCTCACGCAGCTTCTGTATTCGGATAGGGTAGGGGGTCCCCGGAGGAAAAGAACCAGATTTCACTTTTCTTTTTTTGACATAAGAGAAACCATTCTGGCCCAAGTCATTTTGTGATCTAAGCCTGGCTGCAGTGCTTGCCCTTGAACAAGTCATGAAGCCAAGGAGGACCCTGTGGGGCTCCTGGGCACGGAACCCTTTCAAACAGCTGCTAATCAGGGAAGGGAAGGGATGCAGAGACAAGGGAGGAGCAGCCAGGAGACAACAGTGCAGCCTTGCGGCAGGTCCTGGTTCTGTCTCAAGGGATATGCATAACAGTATCTTTGAGCTCTTCTGCGTAACTAAACCCCCCCCAAAATGGAAAATGCTAACTACTTGATGAAGCATTCTTCAGAGAAGATCAGGAGACCAACTGAGGCCAGATTAAAGAAACCACAGAAGCTCAACAGGAGAAACTCAACCACAGAAGCTCACCTGAGACCAGATTAAAGGAATACAGGCCCTGCACACACCCTGATCCTTATCAGCAATCCTGTCCTTGCACCATTGCTATAAAACTCCTCACCAAACCCTCCTGGGTTGGGACACACAGTTTCAAGGGCAATAGCCGGTTCTGTCCCCCTTTGCCTGGCAAAGCAATAAAGCTATTGGCATAGCCTTTGAGGATAAGACATAAACTGGTTAGAACCATCTAGGTCCAAGATGGCGGAAGATTTGACTTCCAGTAGACCTTGAGCCTCATTATACACTCATTGCAATATTGATACATTAGCTAAGTGACACACCCACAGGTGCCAGGACAGTTCCAAGGCCCGACCATAAAAGGCCACAAAGTGGGCGGTAGCCCAATTCCTGGAAATCCCCACCCCTTCCTTCAAATAGTTGGAATAACCCTCCCACTCATTAGCCTATGAAGTTACCCAGCCCATAAAAACTAACCACCCCATATTTCGGGGCCATTCTCGCCTTTTGAGACAGACCGCATTCTGTCTACGGAATGTGTATCTCTTTAAATAAATCCACTTCTTACCTATCACTTGGGCTCTTGCTGAATTCCTTCTGGGATGAGACATAAAGAACCTGAGCTTCACTAAATCCTGAGACCAGGTGTGTGGTCTCAATTAAACGACAGTGGATTCTGGATTCGAGTCCCAGCCTGTGGGTTCAAGTCCCAATCTGAGTTTTGGTGGGTTTGAGTCCCATCTGAGTTGTGCAGTTTCAGCTTCACCATCAGTCCTTTGCAGCTCTCCCATGTTGCATCTCCCCATTTTTCACATTTTTAGCTTACTCCTTTGTTTATATGGAGCACATCCTCCAGCAGCTTCCTGAGAAAAGTGAGTGGGAGGTTAATTTTTTGAGGCTTTTCGTGTCGAAAGTACCTTTTTTTCTACTCTCACACGAATTGGTGATTTGGCCTGGCAAAAAATTCTAGTCTGGAAATAGTTTTCTTTCAGAATTTTGAAGGCATTTATCCCTTGGTCTTCTGGCTTCTAGGAGTACTCTTGAGAAGCCTGAGGTCATTTTGATTTTAATCCTTTGTATATGATATATCCCCCGTTCCCTCTAGAGTTTATAGAATCTTCTCTTTGTCACATGTTTGACATTTCACAATGATGTGCTTTGGTGAGATTCTGGTTTTGATATATGGAATATTAGCCATAAAAAAGAATGAAACCTTGCCATTTGTGACAACATGGATGGACCTACAAGGTATTATAAGAATATTAGCCATAAAAAAGAATGAAACCTTGCCATTTGTGACAACATGGATGGACCTACAAGGTATTATAAGGGAAATAAGTCAGAGAAAGACAAATACTGTATTATTTTGCTTATATGTGGAATCTAAAACAAAACAAAACAAATGAAAAAACATAACAAAACAAGAGTTATAGAAACAGAGAACAAACATGTGTTTGCCAGAGGTGGGAGGGGTAGGAGGTGGAAAGAAATAGATGAGGGAGATTAAGAGGTACAACTTCCAGCTGCAAAATAAACGAATCGCAGGTATGAAGTGTACGGTGTGGGGAATACAGTCAATAACGATGTAATGTCTTTGTATGGTGACACAGCATAACTAGATCTATTTTGGTGATCAGTATGAAATGTATAGAAATATCAAATCACTATATTGTGTAATAAGAACTAACATAGTGTTAGTTCAATTAGGTCAATTATACTTCAAAAACAAACAAGCAAACAAACCCATAGAAAAAGAAACCAGCTTTCCAGATTTGTGGTTACCAGAGGTGGAGGTAGGGGGTGGGCTGGGGAGGGGGAACTGGATGAGGATAATCAGAAGGTCCAAACTTCCAGGTATAAGGTAAATAAATACTAGGGATATAAGGTACAGCATGAGAAACGTAATTAACACTGCCGCATGTTATATATGAAAGTTACTGAGAGTAAATTCTAAGAGTTCTTATCACAAGAAAAAAATTTTTTTCTATTTCTTTAATTCTGTACCTATATGAGATGAAGGATGTTCATTAAACTTACCGTGAGAATCACTTCATGACGTATGTAAACAAATCATTATTCTGTACACCTTAAACTTATACAGTGCTGTATGTCCACTAGATCTCAATAAAACTGGAAGAAAAAACAAACAAACGAACAACAACAACAAGAACTCAGTCCCATTCCCAGGTGATTCTAATGTGTAGCCAAGGCTGAGAATTATTGCCTCACAGATTCTCCAGAATTACCTGAACGAAATAGGATGCTGATAGGTGGTTTTGTGTAGCCATCTGAAGACTCTTAAAGTCTCCTCTCGCTTTTCAGGGCTATTTAAAACCCAGATTCCTGGGACTTCCCTGGTGGTCCAGGGGTTAAGACCCTGTGCTCCCAATGCAAGCGGCACAGGTTCCATCCCGCATGCCGCGCATGGTGCAGTCAGAACAAAAACAAAAAAAACAAAACCCAGATTCCTCATTGAGGTGTGCACCACTTCTGGCTTAGCTGGGCAGATGGAGCTGAGTCCCCTTTGACTTGCTGAGTCGGCCTATCCAGCCAGGGTGAATCTATCCTGCTTCCCCCTCTGTCAGCCTCCCCTGCAGCCTTCTCTACCCGCTTTCCCATGCTGCCTTAGAGCAACCTCATGGGGACTTTTTTCTTTTTCAGATATTGAAGCAGTGCCCAATCAAAGCAACTCCACTTCTCTTATGTTTGACTTCCTTATATGACCTGAATCTGTTTTTCTAGCACAGACCAAATAGACATTTTATACTTCCAATAACTTATTTATATTTCTTGTGATGGGGAAATGAAAAGGGGGAATACTTAAGACCCTGAGTAAAAGCTCTTTGAGAAGACAATATGAACCAGATCCCTCAAATTTTTTGCTCCAGAGTGTGAGATAGTAAATGAGCAAAACTCCAAGTATCCCCACGTTATCAGATCATGTAGAGTAGAATGAACCCGGCCTGAACACACGGGGCACTAACAAAACATCTCATCACGTGGGTGCTGCAAAGAGCCAGGCTGTTCCTCCATGAGTTCCCACCCTCCCAGAAAGCAGTGGAGGCTGCTGGAATTGATAAAAGGAACTTGGTTAATGGCTTCACCTCAGGCATCTGACAGCATAATCATGCACTCTTTTGTGTTGTTTCTCCCTACAGCCTAGAAGCTCTGAATAACTCAAAAGAAGGATTTGTTCTTACTTCTGGGGGAAAAAGAAAAAAACCAGGACATATGTACAGGCACATAAAGGAATTACTTTATGTTGCAAACACAAATGAAACTTTAGAGAATAAAGCTAGATGGGGGACTTCCCTGGTGGTCCAGTGGTTAGGATTCCGCGCTTTCACGGCCACGGCCTGGGTTCAATTCCTGGTCAGGAAACTGAGATCCCGCAAGCCGTGCAGCGCGGCCCAACAAACAAAATCTAGGTGGGACTGGGTTGTGACTTTCTGCGATCTTGAAAGCAGGTAGCGTTTTATTCTCTCCTCGTGGTCCCAGGGGAGCCAAGAACCAGTTCACCGGAGCAGAGTCACTGGTCACAGCTGGCCGGCTGCTGAGGCACAGATCAGGCCGGACACGCTGGGGAGCTGCCAAGAGGACTGGGATCCTCCCATGTCCCTGCTCCCCACCCAGTGCACGCGTGTCCCCGGCACTGCATCCTCCTTCCAGCTTGCGCTGCCCACGCTGTGAACGGTGCTTTCTCAGCATCTCTATGTATAGCCTCACTGGCGGTGACCAGGTGCTTTTTATTTGACAGGGATCTCAATGTAAATTTTCGTTAACATGTAAACAGAGGTAGAATGAGACAGACGTTTAAAAGGGGGATATCTTACAAAGCAAGAACAATGTCAGACCTGTTATTTATTCTGTGTCCAGGTCTTAATTTCTTTTTTTATTTTATTTTATTTTTTTTTATTTATTTTTTTGCAGTACGTGGGCCTCTCACTGCTGTGGCCTCTCCCGTTGCGGAACACAGGCTCCGGACGCACAGGCCCAGCGGCCACGGCTCACGGGCCCAGCCGCTCCACGGCATGCAGGATCCTCCCGGACCGGGGCACGAACCCGCGTCCCCCGCATCGGCAGGCGGACCCTCAACCACTGCGCCGCCAGGGAAGCCCCGGGTCTTAATTTCTAAAGGTGACTGAGTGATGACAGAGAGAGGTCAGTGCCATCGTAAGAAAAATTGAATGGTACTTACCGTTCCCCTAGAAACAAGAGGCAGGCCCCGCAACTCAGGGCCACGGGAGAAACGCCAGGTTTTGGTCGGGAGGCCGAAGACAAGAGCGAAGGGAGGGCCTGAGTCAAAGCCTCCAAGGGGGTTTCTGTGGGAAAGGCAGCAAGGAAGGGCAGAGGAAACAGTGTAGGATTGGCTAGTTTGCATAATTTCTGTGGGCTTTGGTCTTTAGACGTGGTCTCTAGTTGCCTGGAATCTGGCCTTGGGATAATTTAGGGCCGGGGAAAGATTGGCTCCACGTGCGTGAATTAGGTAAAGGTGGTGGTTAAGGAATAGGGCTTGGATTGGTGTGTGTGAAAGGCATGCTCCCCGCTGAGCCATTTTCTTTCTCAAAGAACTGCTAGCCCTGGGAGGAGCAGTTTTTCTCTGGCCAGCAAGCTTTTTAAGACGTCAAAACGTCATAAAATACAGAAAATAGAAAACATGATTAATACACTATTCAAAACAGCCCACTGCAGACCAGCAGCATCCCCAGCATCACTGGGGAGCTTGTTGGAAATACAGATGAAGAGTGACCAGTGCACAATAAGCATGCAATGAGGGTTTGTGAATGAATAAGCCTGTAGAGGTGGTTCTCAAAGTGTAGTCCTTTGACCTACAGCATCACAATCCCCTCCCTTATTTAAATGCAATTTCTGGGTCCTCAGTCCTGGCCTATTAAATCGGAAATTCCAGGGATGGGAGCCAAGCAATTGCATTAGAGAAATGTATCGATTGATGGATTAGGTAATATTCATGAACTTCACAATTCAAGATACGAGAGGGTATATTATGAAAATTTTCTTCCCATTCCTGTCCTCTAGCCACTCAACTCCTCTATCCAGAAGCAACTAATTTTACCAGTTCTTGTCTATTTTCTCAGAGATATGTTATACATATGAATAAATATTCATACAATATTCTCATGCTTTAACAATTCCCCCACAGCCAGAGGCACACTATACACACCTTAATGTAAATTATTTCTATTCAAATATAATTTACATAAAATGCTTACATACACTTTAAAGAATAATAAAATGCACACCCATCCACTTATCTCTCAGGTAAAGAACTAGAACCTCACTGCTGCTAGGGGAATCCCCAAGGAGCTTCTCCTCCATTACCGCCAGGAGGATCGTGGACTGAATTTTTGTATTAACCACTCTTCTGCTTTGCTTTTTACTTTTACAAACCATGTGTGTATCCCTAGATGATACATCATGGAGTTGGGCCTGCCTTTGAACTTTATATCAATGAAGTCATTTTGTATCCATCATTCAGTAAGTTGTTCCTTTTACTCAATATTGCTTTTGAGAAACAAACAGCTTGATGCCTATGGCTGTAATGTATTTATTTTCACTGCTGTCTGGGATTCCATTTTGTATGTATGTGACACAGTTTACTTATTAATTACACTGATGATGGACATTTGGATTGTCCAGACTTTGCTACTATGAGCAATGCTGTTACGGCCATTGTTGTACAGGCCTCCTGTTCCGCGTGTCAAGTTTCTGGAGCTATGCTATCCAGTACAGTAGCCACTAGCCATATGTGGTTGCTAGGCACCTAAAATACAGCAAGTCCAAGTGCTGCAAGTCTAAGACTACTCACTGAAGACTTGGTATGAAAAAAATTCTAAATACTTCATTAATAATGTTTTTATATCTATTACATGTTGAAATGATTAAAAAAATTTGGATATATTGGGCTGAATTAAAATGTTATTAAAATTAATTTCAGCTGATTCTTTTTACTTTTTAAATGAGCTATTAGACAATTTAAAATTACATATATGGCTTGCATTTATTTCTACAGGACAGTGCTGATCAATAGGGTATTTATCTTGTTGTAAAACTGCTGGATTTAATACTGGGTGATGCCAAAGTGTTTTGTAAAGTAATTCTAACCATTGCACTTTCACTGGTGATGTATGAATTCTCCTCTTGCCACATACTCCAGCATTGTCAGGATTTAAATGTTTTGCCGATCTGGTGTGTGTGAAATGTTATTACATTGTGGTTTGCGTACGCATTCCCCTGATCACTAAAGGTGTGGAACATTTTGTCATGTTCATTTATGGTTTTTCTTCTCAGCTCTTTTTCATTTTTTATTTCAGTGCATCTCTTTTTCTTTTTGATTGATAGAAATTATTTTGGGTGCTAATCCTTAATCATTTCTGTGTCATGCAATTATCTTTTTTTGTTTCTAACATTTTTTTCACTCTTTTTGATGTAAACTTTTGATTTTTTTTTTTTCTGGCTGCGCCACGCGGCTTACAAAATCTCAGTTCCCCGAACAGGGATTGAACCCAGGCCACGGTAGCGAAAGAGCCGAAGACTAACCCTAGACCACCAGGGAACTCCCTAAACTTTTGATTTTGAAGCAATCTCAAATTTACAGAAAAGTGGCAATCTCAAATGTACAGATACTGCAAATAACTCATTTTTCCCTAAACCATTTGAAAGTTGCCAACATGATGTTTCATTATTTTTGAATATTGTAGTGTGAGGTTTTTACAAACAAGGACATTCTCCTACACAGCCACAATACAACCATCAACATGGTTATCAAGGAAACGCTGTCTGGCAGCATTTTGTCCAGTTTTTCCTTGTAATCTGAGGGTGAGATAGGCTGTAGTGGGCTTATGCCATCTGAGTAAGAACGAAAAGCCCTGAGAGCTTTTTAAAATTACATTTCGTTGTTGCTGCAGTTTACAAATGCAATTAACATATATTTTTTCATTAACATCGATGCATAAAATAGATAAATCATAAACCTTAGTCTGTGAAACACATCATTAGTCCATTTGTGGCCTTCCTCTGTTATTTGTTTATTTTTAAAATACAATGAACACTTGTGAACCCACACCAAACTCAAATATCACCAATAACTGACAGCTACCTGTGTGTTCTCCTATTCCATCCTCTGCTTTCCTCCCAACAATTACCCTGTACGCCTCAGGGTGTACTCCTTACCTTAGAGATGTATGCTTTTTGCCTCTTTTAAAAATCATCAACTTGTCCTCTCCGGACCTTCTTTTACCTTCTTCATATCTTCATGTATCTTCTCTATTTCTACTGCTTTCAGTAGCCCTTCCATATCTTTTGTGATTCATAAGGCTGTAGAAGAAAAGTTTATTTTTCTGTTCTTAGTGCTTTTGGATGATTTCCAAGAGGAAAAGGGAACTGATGACTTCATGGAGTCATGTTCAAACTAGAAGCTGCATTTTTGAAAATCTCCTTAAGTGATTCTGATGTCAATTGAAAATGAGAGCCAATTTTGTGAAGATGATCCAGAGAAAGGTCATGTATATTGAGTCAGAAGCAGGGTGGAAGGGGAGCGGGTGGATAGCTCCACTGTGAGGTCAGTACAAGAGCAGAGCTCAAGGGAGCCTAGAGCTGACCTGACCTGGCATATAGCACAGCTTGAAATACCCAAAAACGTCTTCTCCACAGATTCAAAAATATCCTGTGTTAGGCTACTCCTTTGCCTTAGGGCATCAAAGCCTATGTTAATAGTCATCATTTAGAACTGTGCTGTCCAACATGGTGCTGTCCAACAGTGCTGTCCAACACTGGCCCCATGTGGCTATCGAGCAGTGTGGCTAGTTTGACGTGAGCTGTGTTGTGATTCTAAAATACATAGACTTAGTATTAAAAGAAGGTGGTAAAATATCTCAACTTTTATACTGGTTACGTATTGAAATAATATTTTAGATGTATTGGGCTAAATAAAATATACTACAAAAATTAATCTCACCTTTTTCTTTTTACTTTTTCAATGTGGCTAATAGAAAATTTTAAATCAAAGTTGTAGCTCATGTTATATTTCTGTTGGACAGCACTGGTCTAGAAAGCCTCTGAACACAGAACTCCAAACAGGTACAATTTCCAGTGGGACTGGGAGTGAGTATATCAGAGACGGTGGACAGGTAGTGAGCAGTGCCAAAATTAAAGTGGGCCTAGGTGACCCTGAAGGGGTGGTTTGTTCAGCCAGGTGGTAAGTGAGGGCATTAAAGCCTGGCTGTTGGAGATGACAAAACATGTACATCACTGAATCCTGGAATTTCATGATTAAACAACGCTTTCAGGTTCATCTGGTCCCGTAAATGATGGGAAGGAAATCCCTGGACTCAGCATCTGAATGTTTGGGTTCTAGTCTCACCTCCACCATTTACTAGCTGGGAGGTCTTGGACAAATCATTTAATCTCTTTTCTTGTATGTATAATGGGGGAGATAAAATCTGCTTGACCTTTCTTGGAGGGTTATTTCAGGTTTTTTAACTTATTCAAAAGCCCACTTAAAATTCGGAAGCACTGTACAAATATAAGATATTAAAAAGACATTGCCTACATCACAATCCTGGCTCAGTCCAGCTCAGCAAGAGTTGTTGATAATTTTCAAAGTGGACAGTTACTTTCTAGATAATTTGGCATTGAACATATCAGCGCCTTTGTGCTTATATCTCTACAGAGAAGCAATTCCTTTCTTCAGTTTTCACATGACTAACAAAAGACTTGGACCCAGACTGCAGTGTAATAACGATTCCTATTTTTGAAAATGAGAAAAAAGGGGCTTCCCTGGTGGCGCAGTGGTTGGGAGTCCGCCTGCCGATGCGTGGGGTGTGGGTTCGTGCCCCGGTCCGGGAGGATCCCACGTGCCATGGGGCGGCTGGGCCCGTGAGCCATGGCTGCTGAGCCTGCGCGTCTGGCAGCGCGAGAGGCCACAGCGGTGGGGAGGACCGCATACCGCAAAAAAAAACCCCAAAAAACGAGAAAAAAACAACCAACCTCAATTGGGAAAATGAGACTTTTCTCACCCAATTTAGAAGTCTGATAATAGGAAATTTTGGTGGAGATGCTCCACTCATCATCCCCTGCTCTAGAGGGTAAATGTGGTGTAGCTACTTTGAAGAGCAGCTTTATAAGATCTGGTGCCAGCTGTGGAATACTACGCAGCCATAAAAAAGAATGAAATAAAGCCATTTGCAGCAACATGGATGGACCTAGAGATGATCATACTAAGTGAAGTAAGTCAGAAAGTGAAAGATTCACTTATATGTGGAGTCTAAAATGTGACACAGGGAATTCCCTGGTGGTCCAGGGGTTAGGACTCTGTGCTTTCACTGCCGAAGGTGGGGGTCCAATCCCTGCTTGGGGAACTAAGATGCTGCAAGCTGCCAAAATAAGTAAGTAAGTAAATAAATAAATAAAATATGACACAAATGAACTTACCTATGAAACAGGAACAGACTCACAGACATAGAGAACAGACTGTTGGTTGTCAAGGGGGGAAGGTGCTGGGGGAGGGACGGTTGGGGTGAGCAGATGTAAGCTTTTATATATATGATGGATAAACAACAAGGTCCTACTGTAGAGCACAGGGAACTATATTCAATATCCTGTGGTAAACCATAATGGAAAAGAATATATATATATGTATAACTGAATCACTTTGCTGTACAGCAGAAATTAACACATTGTAAATCAACTATACTTCAATAAAATAAAATTTTTAAAAAAGAGCTAGGCTTTAGAGTGCAACCAATCTGGGTTCAGACCTAGGCTGTACTCCTTACTACTATTCTACCAGGCCTACTGTGTAAGCTCAATGCATGTTAGCTACCATTGTTATCAATAGAGAAGATATAAAGTGACAAAAAGCCACTGTGGATTCAGTTGATTCATATTCATCTGTATTTAAAAATTACAACAGCATCTACCTGAATGACTGGTAAATATCTATGACTGGAGTTATTTATTCAGGCCACAGACAATGTTTTGTGTGCAAATTAATTGATTTGAACCTGTTACAGTAATCACTCTGCTGGGTCATGGGTCCATGGTGCTAGTACCTCTGATGTTGTAGAAGAGCATGGATTTTGGAATCTCACAGTCCAGGGTCAAATCCCAGCTTTGCCATGTCCTACCTGTGCCATATTGACAAGTTGCTTAACTTCTCTGAGTCTCAGTGTCCTCATCTCTAAAATAAATGATAATACCTCCCTCACAAGGTTGTTGGGAAGATCAAGTGATACAATGTCCACAGCAACCTAATGGACGATGGGTGTCAAATAAATGTTCATTTGTAGTCTCACAACTTGGTCAAAGCTTCATAATCCACATCACTTTGAAAACCATTACTTAAATTGCAGAGGACAGGGACTTCCCTGGTGGCACAGGGGTAAAGAATCCGCCTGCCAATTCAGGGGACACGGGTTTGAGCCCTGGTCCAGGAAGATCCCACATGCTGCGGAGCAACTAAGCCCGTGCGACACAACTACTGAGCCTGCGCTCTAGGACACGTAAGCCACAACTACTGAGCCCGCGTGCCACAACTACTGAAGCCCGCACGCCTAAAGCCCATGCTCTGCAACAAGAGAAGCCACCGCAATGATAAGCCCGCACACTGCAACCAAGAGTAGCCCCCGCTCGCCGCAACGAGAGAAAGCCCGCACGCAGCAGCGAAGACCCAACGCAGCCATAAATAAATAAATATATTAAATAAATAAATAAATTGCAGAGATCCTGGACATTAAGACCTTCATACCTGGAAGGACTTGTAGCCCCACTATCTGAAAACAGGGAGAAGAATAAAGTAAGCTCCACATTCAACAGTCCTTTCTATGTTTTATTATTTCTTTTATTCTCTAGGAGCATCTAAGGACAGCTTCAGCCTCTACCTAGTATCTTTCACATAACTTAATTCTTGGTCTACTTCTCCTCCCTTTCTTGAACTTTCTCCTTACCCTTAGCCTGGAAGCCCCACATAAGCCCCTGCACTGGGAGGGCCATGAGCACTGCGTCAGCGTGCTGTTGCCACTGTCACTGGTGGAAGCCCAGGTGTTCCTGAGGGCTACCCTGGAGCAGCTGGACCCATGCCAAACCGCTTCTTACAGAGCGGCACTGACCGTGGCGTTGATGGTGGTGGTGGAACAGGTCCTGATAGTCGAAGCAGGATCATCAGTGGCTCAGGACATACCCACCCTTCTTCCCTGGAATGCAAGGCTGGAGCCCACTTAAAAGGGCAGGCTGTTCTGCAAACAGGAAGGCAGTCCGTGCAGAAGTGAGTGCAGTGGGGGAGAGCAGAGATCAGCTTCTGGAGGGCATGTTCTCCTAGAAGGTGTGGTTTACCCATTGCCAGGGAGCTGGGAAAGTCACTTGACTCCGGGCCTCTGTCTTCCCTGTCTCCTGCTCAGTCTCCCTCACATCTCTGTTCACTTGGTGGATGAGTGGAAGGACGTGTACAGTCATGGAAATTTCTCACACTGCTGGTAGGACCCGTGTCAGATTCCCTCCTCCCCTCTGGGAAATGCGCTTTGCCTATTTCGAAAATATCTCTTCCGTTTCCTGTTTCTGGAGCTGCACAATGTGCTCCATCTCTTCCTTTAGACAGAAGTTTGAAGACAGTCCATCCTTGAAGAAATTTTCCTCCTTGGCCAAATCCTTTTTTACCATTTCCTCAGGAAGTCTGGGAAACTGGCACCCATGTTCCCAGTCCCTGGCTTCGCACTGACCTCCCAAGAGCAGGCAGACACTCTTGGATCTGCTTGTCAGAGGCAGAAGTGGAGCAAGGAGCCAAGGTCACCCATTGAGATCACGTGACATGTTGCTATGGGAATCATGTGAGAGTGGAATGAAGAACAAAGAACAGAAGGCGCAGCATTGCAGGCAAACAACCAATCCAGGAACGGCAGCTGCTAGTATTTCCTGTTTATTTGTCTTTTTTAGACTAAGTATCTGTTTCTTGTTCTCAAATTTAGAAGCTGTTTCCCTAGCACAATTTTAGATACCCAGAAACAGTCCACCAAATATATGCCTCCAGTACACCTTGGGGGTTCATTAGATTAATTAATAGTGGTTAATATATGCTTTGAAATCCTTTTATTAAAAGGGCCACCTAAATCCCAAGTACCATTATAATCAGGCCTAATGAGGTCAGTGGTTTAAAGAGGGTTTTAAAGCATATATAAAGCTCCTCCCAGATCAGTGGTACAGCATGAAGGTGAGAAGAGGCAGATGAGTCTGCATGCTGGCATTTAAAAGCTCCTCCACAGCGGGAGAGCCACACTGAAGGCAGCAGATTGAAGCCAGGTGCTCGGAGATCTGCTAATGGATTCTCAAACTTAAACCTATGTTTTAGGAATAAGGCCACCACTTTGTAAAATCCTGACAGGTTGCTGCTGAGTTCGGAATACCTTCTGGTGAGCCATTCTGGGGGTCTTGGGGAGGGGCTTGGGGAGGATTAAGCCTATGGCTTTGCCGTTGGTTGAGTGATGTTCGTGAGAGCAACTCCGAGCAGTATTTTCTCGCAGGCTTCACGTGAATGATCCTTGTGCCCCGCAGGCACTTCTAGGGGCTCACGCTCCTTCACCCTTTCAATGAACCCTCGCCTGCGTTCCTGCCTGTACCGTGGCTGCTATGGTACCATCATGACCATGGAGACCTCTGCTGCTACCTGTGATATCACCGGGGTGATTGCCGGCAGTGAGTGTGAAGCCAGGCAAGCATTTGGCTAGCCCCCTTTCATCATTTTCAGATTCTTTCTTAGGAAGGAGCTCAATTCTGAGAAGTTCATTATTATAGTAGTAATATCAACATTAAAACTGAGGGAAAAACAGAATCCTGACTCCCCTATCAAGCTGCTGCTTTTCACTTTCCCTTCATCCTTTCCAAACCTGGTCGAGAAGTGTTTATTTCTACATATTGAAATGATTGCTTAATTAAAATATCAAATTCTGGCTTTGTTTGTTCGTTTGTTGTTGTGTCGACTTCAGGTTACAGCGTGAGCATTTTAAGCAACGCTCTCTGTACGTCCTCTCTTGTGTAATTCTGTTCTGAAGTCTTCTTCATGTTGTCTCAGTATTAGCATATCAGAGCTGGAAGCAACTACAAGGTCAATCTAATCCTACCTTCCCAATTGACAGATCAGACAACTGAGGCTCAGCAAGGAAGAGAGACTTCCCGAGGGCCCAGGGCTAGGTAGTGTCAGACCAAACTCAAACATAGGTTGGCTGATTTCTAGTCCAAGACTTTTCCCAATGCACCAGCTGTGGCAGAAAAGAGAACAAGAAAGAAAGCAGAAGTGGTATCCATCTGGGGCTGAGGACCTTTCTGGGTTTATGCAATCAGAGACCAAAAAATGTCCTAAGGGGCTTCCCTGGTGGCGCAGTGGTTGAGAGTCTGCCTGCCGATGCAGGGGACACGGGTTCGTGCCCCGGTCCGGGAGGATCCCACATGCCGCGGAGCGGCTAGGCCCGTGAGCCGTGGCCGCTGAGCCTGCGCGTCCGGAGCCTGTGCTCCGCAACGGGAGAGGCCACAACAGTGAGAGGCCCGCGTACCGCAAAAAAAAAAAAAAAGTTCCTAAAATGGTTGTCCCAAGCCTGTGGGCCACAGTCAGACCTGTGGCTAACTTATTAAACTTTGAAAAAGGGGTCTCTTCTGGAGTGGAGGAAACAGTTTATTTTCTATTGGTGTAGGCATCTGTGGTTTTGAAATGTTTGCTGAGATGGATTTGAAGGTCTTCAAGTCTTACAAATTCTAATCAAAGAAGTCAGGCTGAGGCACTGCATGGACCCTGCTCTCACTGCAGCCATCATTTCCAGAGAAAGCCATGGCGGAACCATCCGGCAAGACGGCTGGGACCACAAAGGACTTAAATTTGGCTTGACGCAGGTACTCAGCTAGAAACTTTCAATCGGCCCCACTTCATCCTTCCTCACAGAAGCTAACCCAAACTGGAAATGTATCTGCATTTATCCTAGGCTTCAAAACACGGGTACCTGTGTAATTTCCACTGGGATTTCTGTAACATGTCAAGGTATACCAGTTATTGGATATCTTTTTTTAAGTATCTTATGAGTTTTGTAATTACAATTTGTAATTAATATTATGCAATGTACTTAAATTGAGAAAATCTTATAAAGGGTACTATTATAGGTATCCCTTTGAGGTTCATGAAATAGTAAATTTCATCTGTGTAGATCAAAACATTATAATGAAACCCTACTTGAACCAACTTGTCCTTTAGGCAAATTGGAGGAAGGGGACCCAAATTATCGGATATTTGCTTCCAGGTTTTCCCCTATTCTATTCTATTCTATTCTATTCCATGCCACACGGCTTGAGGGATCTTAGTTCCCCCACTAGGGATTGAACCCAGGCCCCGGCAGTGAAAGCACTGAGTCCCAACCACTGGACCGCCAGGGAACTCCCCCAGGCTTTATTTTAAATTGTCTGAGAAACCGAGACTTCTAGCCTTCCAATTATTTTTGACTGCAAATATCTAGACTTTGGGTGCTCATTATTTGTTTTGAAACAACTTTTTAATTTTTTTTGAGTGCTTAACTAAAACTATGCTACATCCACTTCTCCCAAATCTTACTGTATTTCTCTGATTCTCTTTTCTGTGAAAGGACTTGTAGAATTGATTCTGTGGGAATAAAGAAAAGGGATAAGGCCAGTGTCTATGACCTTGAACATAAGGAGGAGAAATCAGGACAGCAGAAGAATGTATTACTCCATCCAGATGTTGACATTCTTATCTGAATTTTCTAGCTTGATAAAAAAAAATCCATCGACCTGTTGGTACCTGGGACAGCAAAGAACACCTTTTGCAGGCTGTTGGGATTCTCACAGACAGAATTAAGGCAAACCAGAAAAAATTCCCCACGTAGAGTGTGGCTCAATACCTCAAAGGTAGGCCAGTGCTTTGTTTAGAAGAGCAGTGAGTGAGAGCCCAGAAGGCCGGGTGTACCTTGGGCCTCCCTGGGCCTGTGCCCATAGGGTCAGCAGTGGGCCTGGGAGGACCCCTAGTGTTCTCTGAAGCACTGAGTTCCTTGGAGTGTTCTTCATGCCCAATTTCCATTCCCCTTCTGCCAGATGTTGGGGGTTCTTGTTACATCTCATTGGTTATTGAGCCATTGAGTGATACCTTGAGCGTTAGTGTGATTGTTTAAAAGAATGTTTGCCTTCCTCTGATGGGTTTTTTTTCCCTGGTGCAAGAAGATTTTACCCACTTTCTGAATTTTTTGAACAAATTTTCACTGTCTGAGCATCCTCAGTGACACCAGGGCTTTAGGTACCATGATGTGTCCAGGTGGAAATCCCTGCTAGGCTGATCACAGACCCCCTCAGGTTCAGCATCTCCCAGACTGAACTAACTCACTAGCCTCTCACTATAAACTTGCTCTTTCTTCTGTATTTTCTGCCTCTGTGAAAGGCACTATAACATACCCAGTCATCCCAGCCAGAAAAAAAACATATTTTTTTCTTAGGTTCTCTGGTTCCTTCTCCCTTCACATCCAGCCATACCAATTCTTATTAAGTCTGCCTCCTATAGGCCCATGGTGTGTATATACCTCTCTCCTTTTATGGCCTTAATTTCAAATAAACAGTTTTACATTTTATGGCCTTAATTTCAATAAACAGTTTCTATTTTCTATTTCAAGGTCCTTGAAGGCAGGGATCAGGACCAGGGGTCTTTATCTCTAGACATCCGAGCAGAGCACAATTATGGTAAACACATGAGTAACTACTGAAGATTAACCTTCTAGGGGATAATACACATATGCTCAAACATGCATATCGCACACATACACCTACAAAGGAATGAGTATGTCTCGAGCATCATTGTGCAGTGTGCGCTCAGTGTGGCACACATCCTCGTCATAGTAGGTGCTTAAAACATTTTATTGAATGAATGAATGAGTGAATAAATGAGTGAGTCCTTGAATGACTGAGAGAATGTTACAAGCAGTTTTAGACTGAAGATTTACTGGGGATCTAGTTTTGCCAGGCCTACACTAAATAAGAAGCAAATCTGACTTTTGCAGCAAGAAAAACAAAAGTCTTCAGAAAAAGAGAGAGAGAAGGAAAGCAATCTGGAAGTTTTTCAGTGATTCTTGAGGAAATGGATCCTTTCAGGAGGAGAGGAAGGGGGGAAAGAGGATCTGGGACTGTCTGCTTTGGAAGATTTCCCTGGAGGGCTGACATCCCGGGAATGCTCATATCTTATTTCTGCTGAAAGTTAATCTTTCAATCTGAACCTCTGGTTTCATCTCAGGTGGTCTCTCAGCCTTCAAGTCAGGAACTGAAGCCACTGCCACCCCCGCGGACATAGACTGACGTCATCAGTGATACTATAGCTCGAGCTAAATTCTATAAGAGACACGGCTTCTAGGCAAAGCTCTGTGGGTGGGCCAGGTTGGCAGGTGCTCAGATAGCCCCTCTTCGAGGGTTTGATATGGTTGTGTTGTACCGAACACTGGCAAAGGAATGGTCGCACTTATGACAGAAAATTCATTTCTCACTTTTCTTCATGCAAATAAGCATAAAAAAAGGAAAATCTACCCAGTTCACATTACGGTTCCCATGAAATATGCATAAACATATGCATAATTATTGTGCAGTAAATGTAAATGTCATAGTAAGTGACATATTCTTAAGAATAAGTCCACATATTGCAGCAAGGCCTCATTTTAGTCCATGATTTCTTTTCTTTACTTTTTTTTTTTTTTTCTTGGTTATACCACATGGCATGCGGGATCTTAGTTCCCCAACCAGGGATCAAACCCATACCCCCCTGCAGTGGAAGCGTGGAGTCTTAACCACTGGACTTCCAGGGAAGTCCTAGCCCATGATTTCAATGCCCACCTACTCCCTGTCTTACCAGAATTGCTAACAAGAAGAGAGCCTGACCTGAGCCTTTGTCCTTTTCCTAGTATCTGCTCAAGCTACTAGGGCTTTGCTTGTGAGGAATGCCTGACTCCCAAGCCGGTCAACCTGGGAGTCCATGGAGAAACCAGGCTGGAATTCTAGCTCCCTGGGTACCTGAGAGCCAACTGTGGTGAAGCTGATCTTCCTCAAGGGACGTACACCATGTCCCTCAGGCCCACACCTACCTCTTGGGTCTTCTTCCTCTTGTTTGCTGAAGATCCAGGGACTGGCTTCTTTTCTTCCCTTTTCAGTAGTTGCTGCCACACAATCTTTCAAGAGGTCCATTCTCCACCAAACATGGCTGAAGATAAGCATATAGGAGCCAATTTTGTTATTGTTCTTTAGGTGTAAGTAAAATGAACCAGTTCTGGAAAGTTTAAGCAGTAAAAGGAAATTACCGAAAGGCTATCAAAAGGCTCCCAGAGCCAGTGAAAGGCTCAAGGACAAGAAGAGTAACCAGGCAGCTCTGGGGTCTGGGTAGCAGGAAGCAGTTGACCATACTTTATAGCATCCCTACTGCACGAATGAATCAGCACTCTCACTGCGTAAATGAACTCCAACGACCTTTTCTCCCATCCTTTCATCATTCTGCTTCACTTCTATAGTTCCGGGAGGGACTGATGGACTCACCTTGGATCATATACACGCCTACAGGCTGGCTGCTCTGCTTTTTGGTCTTGCCCAGACCACCCACAATGGAGAAGAGACATTCTTCCAGAAGGAAACCTGATGCAGTTTGTGGCTTTACTTCCATACTCAGAAGAAAACACAAATAATATGTTGGAATGTAAAGCTCTCAAAGTCCCTGCCGATATGGCCCCTGCTGGGCCTTTAGCTCCCTTCAGAGATGTTCAATAAATGTTTCTACACATCACTTCTTTTTCTGAGGAGGAATCAAAATCATACCCACCTACCTCTGAGCCCCCTTGGAGAAAGCCAAGTGAACCCTTCTCTGCTCAATGACCCCTCAAGCCTACCTGCAGATTTCACCCAGGCAGAACTGGGACCCCTGTGTTTCACTGGGCAGAGCCTATGGTCAGCTGGTGAGGCAGCCCTGCAGCATGTAGACCAGCATCTTTTATGACTGGTTGAGGACCATGCTGTACCAGTTAAATACTTTGATTATTATCTCTGCATGTGGGCAATCCAGGACATTCTTTAGATGTTCACTTTGCTCAAGAATGATTTCTTCTGTGGGAGAAATCACAGCATGTACTCCATCTAATTGCCAACTCCTTCAATGTCACTACTAAAAAAAAAAAATTATCTCACCCAGGTGAGATAATTTCCAAATAATTTGAAAAACAAGAAATAGTATGATGACTCATACTCTGAATCTATTCCCCCAGTATTCTTTTTATGACTGAGATACCAGATGTTCTAGAGGAGAGTCAATATTTAAGGTGTCTTAGTTTGGTTCCCGTAGAAGCAGACCCTGAAACAACTTCAGGTGCAGGTGGTTTATTTGAGAGGTTCAGGGAATGCTGATATGAAGTGGCTGGGGGATACAGGGAAGGGAAGAAAGCCAATAAAATGTGTGTCGTCAAGCCGGCTACCACAGTGGGCACTGCAGCTCAATCCTCCAAGCAAACACTGAGGGATTGTGCAAAACACACTGCAGAATTATTATACACAAGGGCCAAGAAGCTGGGGTATTTATACATCAACTTCTAAGAGCCACTGACTGGGGTATCTGCCTGTTGGGAGGAGAGCAGCTTAATTCTTTGCTCCTCTGGTCTTCCATGCAAATAGGTGGCACACTTTTCAGAACTTCCAAGGGAATGAGACCGTTGACACCGAGATGCAGATCCTGGCAGATGGAAATCAGCTGAGCATCCTGAAATGTCTAGGGATGTAGGAAGGCCCCTGCTTGTGTGTGGGGTGCAGAGCATCTCTTTTCTCCACTCTTCAAAACATTTCTCTTCCCTCCCTCTAGCCTAATACCCCTTAATAACTTCACGCTTTTAAAAACAAATACCTGGAACAGAGGCTGACCTCAGTCAAAGGAACACAAAGGAAGGCCTGGCCAATGAGGGAGAGAAAACACAAAAAACAAAACACAAATTAAAGTCTCAAAGGAATTATCATGCCACGTGGACATTCCTGCTGCTTGGGTTCACTCAGTAGGTTCCTCAAAAAAGCTATGCTGTTTACTTTTAGTAAGATGAGAAGTTAAAACTTGGATGAAGCTTTGAAAATGTGAAGGGCAGAAAGGGATGGGAGAGGCGTGGTTTCTGATTGTGCCTTTGAGCTTGAAGCACCTGCCTGACCCCCAGGCTCTGGCGTCCTGAGATGAGCTGCACACAGGGAGCGAGCGGAGTCTGGGTATGGACGGTTTGCTGCTCATTTCTGTTCCACCTGCTTGTCTTTCTTTGCTGGTTGTCTGGGGGTGAATGCCTACTTGACTGACAAGCTCTAATTTAAGAGCAGCAAAGAGTAGCAACCCCACTCCAGGGCTTGGCTTTGCCAAATCCATCTTGAATGTAGGAAAAATAGCTTTTCTCACTTTTAAAGAATGAAGTAAGTCGCTGTAGGCTGTTCGCTGTAATTTGAAACTGGCCAAACTATATGGAGGGTTCTAGGAGCCACGACTGTGAGTATGTCGTCTCACCTGTTGGATCACACCAAGTCGACGCCATGAAAAGCTACGGGTTTGGCTTCTCTTCGTGGCTCTATGTGGCTCCATTCCTAACCACATCCTCTTCTATCCTGCCTAAATTTCTCTCCAACCATGTCCTTCATTCCGTCTCTCACACCCTGGTCCTTCCTTCTGCAGGACCTCTGCTCCCCCACCTGTTCCCCAGGTCGTCTGCCCCTTCTGAATTCTTGGGTCTCCACCAACCTCTCCACTGCTAAGGCTCTGCCATGGGCTTGGCGTCCCCTCCCACTGCCTCCATTTCCCAGCCTTCTGTCACTACTTCCTGTCTCTTTCCCGCACTGGATTCTAAAATGAAGACAAAGATGTTTTACAAAGTGAACTCTTAGTTAAGTTACCGTTATTATGTGTTATTTCCAACTTAAGGAATTGGAGCCAGAGAATCTGGATTAGCATTTTCACAAGTAAAGAACAAAAATTCCTTATCACTTACATCTTTGAGGATTGTTTGAAGTTCTCTCTAAAGAGAAGAGTCCCCTGCTCGGGTGTCCTTTGAGCTTTGTGTCCACGGATCTAAAATAAAAATGATCAGATAGAACAATGTGTTTCAATATGTGTCCTTATACTTTATGAAAGTTATAAAAGCATAATAATTAGGTTAAATTTGATGATGTACACACATTTTTACTTTGATTTTCTTGCAAGAGTATAATGAACTGATCTTGGGGTTGTCCTGGATTCTAAAATGTTTTGTCAGAGTATCTTAGGGGAAGAAGATACAACTTAAACGCAATACAGTTCTGAAGGTATTGTTGTGGAGTTTATGGGTGAAGAAAACACAGCTTTCCTCACAGCTGCTCAACACCATGGTGCTTACAAAGACTTTCCCCTAGGTGCAGTGCATGGGTTGTTTTAGTTTTTTGTGGTTTTTTTTGCGGTACGCGGGCCTCTCACCGCCGTGGCCTCTCCCGTTGCGGAGCACAGGCTCCGGATGCGCAGGCTCAGCGGCCATGGCTCACGGGCCCAGCCGCTCCGCGGCATGTGGGATCTTCCCGGACCAGGGCATGAACCCGTGTCCCCTGCATCGGCAGGCGGACTCTCAACCGCTGCGCCACCAGGGAAGCCCGGTTGTTTTAGTTTTTGTCTATCTGTCTATGCTCTTATTTACAGAGTAGTGCTAAGAGGTAGGGTCTGTTCTCATTTCGTCTCATTCTCAGCATACTTTGAAGACAGGTGAGGATCATGAGGCTGTGGAGTCTGTGGATGGTTCTGGGTCTTGGGGTCTTCTTGGGGGATGTGGGGAGAGTGTCCACTCTGGAGATCTCAGAACGTCTTGACTGTCATCACCAGCAAAGACCTTTGAAAGGTCCTGAGGTCCAGTACCCACAGTGAGAGCAGAGTTGGAGGAGGAAGTTGTGAGAGCCACAGGTATCTTCAGAGTATGGAAGATGCATTCTGAGAGGAGAGAAGCCTTCTGCTCAAAGAAAAGCCAAGAGCTGAAGGTTCACCCGAGAGTGCGTGCTCTGTGGGAGGTGGCTTAGCACGGGGGTGTGGGTGTGGTCAGAAGGACATGAATTAGACCAGCATATGGAGTACATCCATTAGGGAATAAGATTAATTTACCAACATTGATCAATATTCAATGAGTGAATCCGCCTGCATACCTTTACTGATAAGACCCCTTTGCACGCAAAGCTGCTGTTGAAACAACAGGAGAGACCGATAGAGGACCTCCTTAATGGCAAAGTACATTCAATTATTAAAACTCACGATGATGAAGAAAACTGAGCCATAGCTGCGGTAGGTACGATATGGACCATTTCGCTTAGACGTTCTTTGTTCTGTGTGCAGCTTCTTCCCTTTTCTGGGCCTGGCCTCAAAGTCTTGGCCTGTTCCCTTCCGGTGCAATGTGGGGGCCTGGAGCTGGGTCCAGAAACCTCCATGTGACCACTTTGCCGGAATTCCCAGTAGGCAAGTTCGGCCCTGAGGAGAGCAACTCTGCCCCGGCCAACACACACTCTCATTTCTCTGCCTAATTTTCAGCTGGTGTTTGAGAAGGAGGGAACTGGATGGGTGTTTTGGTGATCTACACAAGTTCGAGATTAAGGGAGCATCAGTGATAACCTCCCAAAGAGGGAAAAATGACCTCAGGTGTGAATAGTAACTATCGTGTTTGCACAGGGGCATAAACATTTTAGGCACCGGACACCCCAAGTCAGCACACAGATATGAGTCACTTCGCAAAACTTTCAAATCAAGTCTTTCCCATGAGATCAAATTCTTACGGACATGGCAGGGTTATGGATCTAATTCAATTGCATAATCGCTCAGGAAATGAGCCCTACTCTGGGGGCAAGCCCAGTGCTAGCAGGTGTCGTCTGCCTCTGAGGTGCTAATAGTCTGGAGAGTAAGGAGGCCTACTTCCCAAACTAGGACGTCAAGGAATCTTAAAATTCATTGCCTTCCTCAACACTTTGGCAAAAGTAGGGGCCAGTCCAAGGTTCACCCCAGCAGCCTGGATTCACTGATAGCCTGGGCCTTAATATGCTAGGGGCAGAGGTCAAATGGTATAAAAAGGTTAAGTGGCTGGGTTCATTTCTGAAGGAAACACACTGTCACCATTACTAGCAATAAAAACAGTGATAGCTACTATCTCTGGGTATTGAATCAGTTGCTTTACATTTATTTCATTTAATTCCCATGATAAAAGTGCTATTATCATCCTCATTTAATGGATGAGAAAATGGATAAGACACAGCAAAATTAAATTACTTGCCAAGTTCCCACAGCCTGTACCAGGGTTTGAACCCAGGGATGCCAGGCTCTGTAGCATGTGCCCTTAATCCCCGTGATGTCCTATGTGTGTAGTAACAGTGTTCAGTCTGCATCATGGATTCCCCAATTCCCACCTCTGCCCTCACAATTTCTAGTTGACCCCATAAGGTACGTACGTGGCTGATTAAATGTCTGCAGTAACGCAAGGGATCAAATGTTGGTTGGAAATTATTTCTTTCTCTGAATCTTCTTCCCTCGTACGCCTCCTTCATTTTGTATGTAAAACAAAGGCCTACTCAGTTTCAGACATGTATAATGTTGTGGCTAATTCTGAAATGTAAAATACAACAGCTTAGAAACCTTGTCCTCCCCCAACCCCTTCGATCAGTCACCCTGGAAACTTCCAGCATAATTTAAAACATTCTTCTTTTGGAATTGCCTAGGAAGCAATTTTAAATTATCACCCATGAAGGCAGATTACCTGTGAAGGTAGATGTGATACCTGGAAACCCCCAAAAGTTCTTTGGAGTCACATGTTGCAAAAAGCTAACACACAAAGAACCAGGTGATTAACCCGGGCAAGGTTGTTTTCATTCAAATGTAGAGGTTTAATGAGCCTGATTTAACTCAGATGGACACCACACTGGCCCAAAGGAAGAATTTCCAACCTGGTGGACTAAGTAGGATCCTTCCCAGGGTGTTGACTCTGAAGAAAACATACTGATCTTTTACCATGGGAACTGAACGAGGAAATAAATATAAAGCAACTGATTCAGTGCCCAGAAACAGTAGCTATCATTGTTTTTGTTGCTAGTCATGGTGACAGTATGTCTCCTTCAGTGCCCTCATGCAGATGGGCTCTTTAAAGTAGATGACATAGAGCACATCCATCAAAACTTTCTTAATTGCACGTCGCTACTAGTGAAGAATTTTTTAAGGATACCCAAATATATTTGTTCATTTTACAAATTTCCTGTATCCTGATATTTTACATACGTTACGAAATATTACAAAAATATAAATTTGAAGGATTCGATGAGAAAACAAATGGAAACAGAATTTCCAGTACTTATTTCCCTCACCCCAGTGGACCACGCTCTCTCCCTTGGGTATGCAAGCTCCACTTTGGAGACAGCACCCTCTCTCTTCTCCTGTCCTCCGGGGTCACTGCCTCCGAAAAGACTGAAGCAAAGGATCTTCGAAGGATGTTAGCCAACAAAGCCAGCATCCAAGAGGCTGGGAAATGGTTTTGTGTGGACTCAATGACCATTGCGGCCATCACCTCCTCCTGGGAGAGCCATGCTGGGCGGGTCCTCAGAGATGCCTGGGGAGATACAGGAAACGGATTTGGATTCGGGCTGATGCAGGTAGGACAGCAAAGCCGTGCAGGCTGGTTCAGTTGACTGTTGGATTTTGGCTGTAAAACATCACAGGAGGTTAAGGGACTGTTTTATTTTATAGCATGAAAATGATCCCAACTCATACTCTGTGGCAGGTTTTAAGTGGGCAAAATGTGCCTTTCCAGGTCCCCTCTTTCAGGGCCTCTGCCCTGCACCTCTTCTACCCAATCCCAGCTCCCTCCCTGGGGCACCACCTCCCTCTGTGCTCCAGACAGGCTGTTGCTCCCTGAGAACCATCACTTTCCCACTTGCTTCCCCCACCAGACTGAACTGATGACCTAAGGAGAGCAGAGAGTGGCTTGGAGGTAACTTTTCTGAACAGCTGCCCCTTCCCTGAGTATTCCTGAAGACTCAAGGCCTTAATTCGATGACTGTGTTTCTTTTTTTCTTTTATTCATTTTAGTTCAGTTTTTTTCCCAGTTTTATTAAGATACAATTGACATACAACACTGTCTGTTTAAGGTGTACAGCATAATGATTTGACTTACACATATTGTGGAATGATTAAAAAGTTTAGTTAACATCCATCATCTCATACGGATGCACACACACAAAAGACTTTAATGTGATGAGAATTTTTAGGATCTACTTTCTTACCAACTTTCAAAATACATCAACAGCAGTGTTAACTCTAGTCATCACATTGTACATTACTTCCCTAGTACTTGTCTTACAACTGGAAGTTTAGGCCTTTTGACCACTTTCATCCCATTCCCACTCCCCCACCTCTGGCCTATGGTAACAACAAATCTGGTCTCTTTTTCTATGACGTTTCTTTTTAGATTCCACATATGAGTGAGATCATATAGTATTAGTCTTGGTCTGACTTATTTCACTTAGCAAAATGCTGTCAACGTCCATTCATGGTGTTGGAAATGACAGAATTTCCTTCTTTTTATGGCTGAATAATATATATATATAGAATATATATATAATGTATGTATGTATATATATATGTATATGTATATCTATGCTACAGTTGGTTTATCCATTCATCCATTGATAGACACTTAGGTTGTTTCCATGTCTTGGCTATTGTTAAATAATGCTGTTATGAACGTGGGGTTACAGAATAGACCCCCAGAGACAAAGTGGTGTCTAGTTGGGGAACAAGAGCGTGCTCTGGTGGGAGCTGGGGAGATGGTCCACTAGGACTGTGGTCCAGGGGCCAGAAGGGCTCTGGTGTCAGAAACAAGCCCTAGGTTGATGGTGAACAAGGGGGAAGTGGGGAGGAGGTGGGTCTAAGGACAGAGAAGACCCCAGTAGCCAAGACGAAGAAGCCGGTGGGGATGAGTGGGAGTGAAAGAGGACAAGTGACAAGTATGAGGACACAGTGGCCAGGGGACTCCGGAGCAAAGTGGTAAGGCCAGCTGTGGGGGTGGGAACGCCAGTGAGAATGGAGGGGCCTTGGCAGAGAGGGCCCTGGCGGCAGAACAAGAGCCAGTGATGCGGTGGAAAAGTGTGGTGGTGGGCAGGGCCCGTCGGTGAGGAGGGAGACAGTGAGGGAGACCTGCCCGGAGCCTGGACGGCTGCAGTGAAGGGAAACAGGCCTGTGGAAGGCACTCCAGCAGAGGCTGGGAGACCTTGTAGTGCCCTCTGAGAAGGTGGAGGCTGGGGTTATGGGGGCTCAGAAAGAGGACCGTGAACGCTGAAGTGGGCACAGAGGATGCAGTATCTTCTCCAAGCTCCCCAAATAGCAGAATGCCAGCTTTGGAAGACAACCTGTATGTACATATATGAAAACACCTCACAGCCAGGATAACGACACACAGTGTGGTGACAGTTGCCCTTATCAAGGAGCTTGCCCGGAACTCCCTGGGGCTGCAGGGGACAGGGTACAAGCCTCAGTTAGGGCGGAACAGGGGCAAGGTCCTGGCAGGGGTAGCGGCACCTGATGGTTTCTCCTGTCCTGTTTCCTGCACCCCATTTCTCACCAAGGCTTTATCCCACATTCTCTTCCCTAGAGATTGCCCTGACATGTCAGGCCAAGCTGTCCTGAGGCCCTGGAATTGTACCAGCCTTCCTGGGAAAAAGGAACACAGAAAGCAGGGAAGTGATGGACCTCCTGCACAGAAGAGAAAGCAGGACTGGCGCCACTTTTTTTTTTTTACAGCTTTATTGGAGTATAATTGCTTTACAATGGTGTGTCAGTTTCTGCTTTATAACAGATCCACTTGAGTTTTTTTCTGGCAAGCTCTCCAGGCTGCGAAAACAGCAGACTGGGTTACCTGTGGTGAAGGAAGGAGCAGAGATACTCTAAGGAGGTCGAGGCTGAGTAGAATGATCCTTAGCAGCTTAGACCCGAGAGCCACAAGAATTAGTATCGGGAGAGCAGGCTGGCCACAGACCACCAGACACACCTGGAGCTGGATAAGTTCCCTTTATTGCATCTCAGGAAAAGTCCTTTGGGAAGGACTTTAAAGGATCTGGGCTCTTATTAGATGATTTTGATGAGTGTTCAAAGCAGCATGGTTTGCTCTGGATTGGATGCTGTCAGGAAAAGAGAGATGGCTCTATGATTGGTGTCTTCATGAATCTCATCTAGAAGGTGAGAGGAATGAAGCGAGGCTGAAGCTGTGTGATGAGAAGCAGCAGGCCCCACATTACCCAGAAGAGGGGATATGCCTCATTTTTCCGGCTTGAACGATGCTTGTGTTTTTGCCTGCGCTCGGATGTGACTACGGAGTGAGCTTGTCTTCGCCTTGATCCATCAGTTACAGAGCAGCTTCATCTGATGTTGGTGACCTGTGAAATTGCTTACGTTCAATAGGAAACACCTGTCAGTGCTGGGCCGGCTCCTAGACACACGGAGGCTTCCCAGGCCAGCTCCTGGCTGTCACAGCTGCTCTTCTCTGATGCCCCTCTTCAGCCAAAGGCAGACAAAGTCAGACCACAAGGCATCAATCCACGACGTCCAGATTTTCACTGGTCAAGATTTTGTCAGTTAAGACCAGGAGGATGTCCAGAGGGCAGAGTCTTTGTTCGACTAGGGCCAGTTGTAGGATGCGTTGTTGAGTCACCTGACGTGCTGACGGCTGCACCGCAGCATTTAAGTTTTTGGACAGGATACACTGAGCAACTGTAACACAGGCAATGACCAGAAGCAAAAGGATCATGAGTTTTGTGACAAGACTTAAAGCCAGGGTCCCAGATTATAAAACCCAGGCAATGAAAACATGTCCCAGAATCCAGCTGGGTCTTTTAGAGAATCGGATGGATTTTTTGTTTATCCTAATAGCCACAGTTGTGCTTGCCCTGTAGTTCATAAATGCAGCAAGAAGTACAAACCACCCTCCACCAGCTTAGAGGAAATCAAGGTGTTCAAAGGGGCCTTGAGCATCCTGTCCAGTCTTGTCAGAATCTTGTCGGGATTGTGTTGTTGGCAGGTAGGATGTACAGTGGAAAAATCCTCAGTGGTATCTTGAAAATTACCCTACTAATGCTGGTTCAATACTATTGCCAATTTTCCTCTGCTTTATGGGTAATATCACTACTTTTTGATATTTTTAATATCACAATATTTGCTAAATTTCACTTTTTATCCCGGTCACCTCCTTACATATAGAAAAGCATGTCAAAGCTCTTTAATTCACTGTCAATGTTATAGGGGCTCCTGTGATGGGCATTTGTTTCTAAAGCATTTCAATGTCATGGACTATCTCCAAATCATCTACCTATCCTATCAGTATATTTACTTTTGTGATTTGGCAGATCTGGGAGAGGGCATTGAATGGACACAATTTTTGAGAAAAGCTTATAATTCAAGGGTAAATTTGAGTCTGATGACATTTTTAATTTTACTTTCTAAGTATGAATAATCTACCTACACAATTAAATCAGAGTTATCCAAGGGAGTCTTCAGAAGGTCAGTGCAGGGTATACATAGTTCCCTGAGGCAGGCAATTATGGGCTGTTCCTTTGTGGGAGAGGGAAGGAGGTGGCTGGGTTTAGAGAGGGGCAGTGATGCGTGACGGAAAAGCACCAGTAACTGCCTAGGTTAGGTGACGAGCTGAAAGATGCTGAGAGCTTACTGTCAATGGAAGAATCTATACAGCACAGCATGGGAAACCATCAAGATGAGTGGAGACCCTAGAACTAAACCAGCTGAAGTTTTCACACTTTTGTTGTCACTGCTGTGGTTCTTAGACAAGATGGATATATATATGTTTTGGCTACTGGAGCTAAAGAAAGACTGAAATAAGCAAAGGGCCTCTGGTGATTTCCATTTAAATGAAGCAGTTCCCTAGTGTCTGTTCAGATTTATAATAAAAGGAAAGGGGGTGGGGCAAGGGGAGGATCTGTGAATCCAGAACAATGGAGGAAACATTTGGAAGATAGTTTTATTGTACCAGTCTGTGTCCAAGGACTATGTTTCTTTTAACTTGAAAAACATATTCATTGAAAGATATTTAATAGAACTTACTTATATATAACTAACCTAGGAAGATCAACTCCTTTTTTAATTTGTCAGGATTGTTTTAACAGTAAGTTTGGTAGGGACTTCCCTGGTGGCGCAGTGGTTAAGAATCTGCCTGCCAACGCAGGGGACAGTTCGAGTCCTGGTCCCGGAAGAGCCCACATGCCGCGGAGCAACTAAGCCCGTGCGCCACAACTACTGAGCCTGCACTCTAGAGCCCGCGACCCACAACTACTGAGCACATGTGCCACAACTACTGAAGCCCGTGCGACTAGAGCCCGTGCTCCACAACAAGAGAAGCCACCGCAATGAGAAGCCCACACACCACAACGAAGAGTAGCCCCTGCTCGCCGCACCTGGAGAAAGGCCGCATGCAGCAACGAAGACCCAACGCAGCCAAAGTATTAATTAATTAATTAATTAAAAGAAAATAAGCTTGGTAGACAAAAATTCTCGCAATAGAATTGAAGTTTGGAGAACCTTTGGACAATCATTCCTATTGCCCTTACTTTTATGTGGTTAACAGCGAATCTTTATTTATGCCATCTAATGGCCACTTCAGAAAATCCACAGATAGTGCAGGCATAAAATTCATCCTAACAATTTTATTATTTTGAATCTAGGTATGATTTTGGGAAAGGCAAAATCAAGACTAGTTTTTATAGAAGACAAGATATGTGATAAGTACCCCAAAATAGGAAATAATTTGATGAAAAATACCTTAGTTTACCCAAATTCTATTTTTACTTTTATTTTACATTATTCATGCACAGATTGTAGTAATTACTAATATACATTTATATGCAAGTATTTAGGCATGTGTAAATATATTTAAGACACTTAAAGCTTATATTGAATACCTATAGATTTAAAACATAATTTATCAGTATATTAAATACAAAATGTACATATCACTAAATTTACCATGTTAATAAGCAGAAAATCATATCCATTATGTTAAATACATATTTGTATTTCTCTGTAATTACTGTGCCTGGTATAATTAACTGTTTATATTCTCTTGAAGTGATCAACTATTTTTCTTTTCTCCAGAAAATAAAGAAAATTAGAGAACAGAAAATGAATTGTTTGGCTATTTTTTTTCTCCATGAGCACTCATTTCATATCATTTTAATAATTTTGAGGGAAAAAGAAACATAAATAGTATTATTCAAAGGCATTTTCATCATTTATTAATGGATTGCCATTCTGAGAAATAAGGGTAAAAATTTTATTTAGTGACTCATGTTTTGTATCAGTTTCTTATTTAGAAACTGTCCAGACTTCCAGTTTTAATTAATTGTTTACCAAGGTCTTAAAGCTGAGAAAAGTTTAAATGTATAAAATAGGTTTTGACACATATACATAAAAAGAGAGCGACAGATGGTTTAGACAGTAACTTGGACCCTTGATATTTTTATCAAGCTGTGTGATCAAAAAGCCAGTACTTAATACTCCTCAAATTATAGAAAGGAAGGAGAGGATATTAAATAGCCTCTATATTAAATAAAATGGTCTTTTATTTTTTAATTGAAAACAAGACAAATAATGTCTGCACGGAGGGTTCTTCACTTTTTGTTCTTTTTTGCTCTAAAGTACCTCCCAAACACACAATCTTGCTCGTGTCAAAAGCTCCCTAAAATGGCCACTGCAATTCCAACTTGTCCTTGGTGAAACTGTGACAGTTAGAATGATAAGCATACTAGTTAGTATTGTTAACAAGAAAAGATGAAGAAAACACGTGTTTGGCCTGAAAGAGGCACCATTTAGATTGAGAAGACCTTGAGAACTGGAATGGCCCTTAAAAAGAGTGCTTGGGTAACTTTTGTCTCCCCTGAGCCTGACCAAAGGCCAATGGTCACCAAGGAGTGGCCAGAAAAACCTGAAATAAAGCAATTCTCTGAGACACAAAGACAGGACAGAAGAAGTCCTTGTAAGGTTTGAAATGATGGGAGGCAAAGGAGTACCATTCTGGGGAATCCCCTGGGTGCAACTTAAGGATGGACTGACTGGGTTTGGCAGGTCGACTTTACAGAGGCCTCCCTGATCCTGGCCCCTGGTGGTCACACCTTTGTGGAATTCCCCTCTTCCTTGAGTGTGAGCTGGACCTGTAACTTGCTTCCAACCAATGGAATGCAACAGAGGAGACAGAATCTAGGCCACTGCATTTATATGATTACCTAAGAGGGTAGCACCCATCTTGCTAAAGTCTCTCACTCCAGTGTTGGTTTTGAAGAAGCAACTTGCCATGAATTTTATAACCACAAGGAAATGACTTCTGCCAACAACCTGGGAGAGCTTGGAAGCAGATACCTGCCCTGTCAAGGATCTGAGGAGAACCCAGCTTTGGCTGATGCCTTTTTTGAAGCCTTGTGAGACCCTAAGCAGATGAGCGGGCTAAGCTGTGCCCAGAGTCCTGACCGAGAGAAACAGCAGGGTGATGAGCATGTGTGGTTTTAAGCGGCTGAGACTGTGATAATATGTTACGTGACAACAGAAAACAAATGCTCTAGCCTATGCTCATCTCCCTACAGGCTTTTCCTCTTCTGGGCAATTTCACTTCTAAATATCCAACTTATCATTCAGATATTTTCCTCTAGTCATGAGCAGCAGGTTAAAATTACTTACCAAAACTTTATGAGACTCTTTGGGTAAAAATTAACCAATGGTCTTTTCCCCATTTTAAACATTAATATTAGCCTAGTAAAAGAGGCAGCAAAACATTAGCAGGGGCTGCTTTTATCAATATTTATACAGCTGGCCTCAATCCAACTCCAGTGAGGACAGCTTCTGTTGAGGCATACAGGTCTCTCTCCAGTTAGACCCAGCCCTTCGAAGTTAGTGTCCTTCTGCTTTATATCCTCTCCAGGCCGTACCTATACTGGATATTCAATAATTGTGGAATTGAAAGTGTGATTACCCTGAAGCTTATTAATTAATGATATCTGGCTTCACTTCACACAGCACTTCTACGTGATGCCAAAACTCTATGACAGGACAGATGCTGGGACCATAGGCAGCGAGTATGCCAATGTCACTGCTGCCTGAGCCAAATTTTACGAGACAAGGAAAATAAAGGGCAGCTAGAACTCTGAGTCCTCAGCACCAACTTCAGTTAGCTGCCACCGAATTTCCCGGTACTGAACCTCTCTTAAAATTCTTACTTCTCCCCACCCCTCCAGGTATCTGAAATAGAATAGAAGGAAATAAAACAACTTTCCCTAAATGATTTTTTCCTTCTCTTTTTTCTTTTAAATAGCAACCTCAACTATTGGCAGAGGTTTCTAGGAATTCAAGGAACATCAATAAAGTTTAGGCCAAATGAGGTTTATAATTAGAAAACAGATACTATTTTGGGTATTGAATTTAAGGATAAAATGAAGCCAAGTCCACATACCTATTTATAGACACCACAGCACAGAGCAGTCGGTCCAGCTGCACCCAGTGTCTAATGCTTCTGGCTGAATCTCTGCTCTCCAGGGGAACAGACTAAGCTCCTTTAGGGCAGGGACCACATTCTGGTCAGCTCTGGATTTCTCCAACACATAACACACTCTTCACTCAAAGGGCCACTCATAGAATGTGTTCAATTCAATTAAACGAGAAAACAATTTTTTTAAAACGTTAACGACGATTGCTAAGGTGACATCTGAACCCACATGTTCAAACATTGCCATCCTTACCCATTTTCCAGTGAAACTACTGGAGGGAAAGGGGACAGAATTAAACCAATTAAAAGCACTAAAACCTCCAAGCCTACACCAAGGAAGAATCACACCATGTTTAGCCAGTGAAAATGACTAGAATTTAAAACATATTTTAATGAGAACACTTTCTCACCATCTTGAAATAGAAATGACTTGCACTTTTTACTCTGAAGCCGCGAGGCCATCAGGACTTATTCACTTCCTGGTCCGTGGGGTTCTGAAGCCACCCCACCACCAGCTCTCCAGTGCTCTTGAGGCACGTGCTGGACATGTCCTCCTCTCCTGGGAGACCCTGCGGCAGCTTCAGGGGCTTGATTCTGTGACATAAGGGAATGCTTTTAGAGTTATACTAGGTAACACGTTTTAAGAAACTGCTGGAATAACAAACAACAAACCTTATCAAATGTTTAACCACTTTCAGTTTTGCATTCACCGAAGGGATATTCTTGTGAACTTGAGGAGTATGTGCCTACAAACAAAGGAAACAATGTTATGGATCAATTTCAAAAGCACAGATGGTCCCATGTTACAGGAAAAGGTTCAGGTGTAGGCTCATTCTGTCTAAATCAAACTTCCAAATATATTACGTGAAATCATACATTTAAACAAAAGTTTTAAAAGTGGAAAATTTAAAGCAAATTTAAACAACACTAAAGATGACTAAAATAGTTACGTACTTTCTGTAACCCAAGCATCTTTATTATATCTTTCTCCCAATATGGACGTCTTTTTGTACTTTTTATTCTGGTAACAATATGCAGTTTATGAGGCTGCTGGGGATCCCCACCATATTTTTCATGATCTTCAGGTGAAGGTTGAAAAACCTAGAAAGGAAGAATTATAAACGGTAAATTTTCAATTTCCACAGCTTCTAGGTGCTTCCTTTATTTTTTTTTCCTTAAAAAAACTTCAAACAACTACATAATGATTTCATCCCTAATAGTTTATAATCCTCACCTTCCAACTGAACATTTCTACCAGTCTGATTACTCAGGTAGATGGAGTCTAAGAATTTCATACTCTAAGAAAAATACCACACAGGTAAGGGTTTGTTTTGTTTTGCTTTTATTAAGAGAAAAGCAGGAGCAACCAGATGACACTAAAGAGTTCAAATGTCAAGAGAATATGTTGCATTATATGAGCTGGGCCTTGGGCTGCACCCCCTCCCCCATTCAAGTAGGGGGACAAACAAAAACTTACAATGACAATAACACATGAGTATTATAAAAAGTACGTATTCACTGCAACCCCGAATAAGGATGTTATGGATAAGACTATTTGTAATACTGAAATTTTTCTTTTTCTTTTTTTTTTTTTTGCGGTACGTGGGCCTCTCACTGTTGTGGCCTCTCCCGTTGCGGAGCACAGGCTCCGGACACGCAGGCTCAGCGGCCATGGCTCACGGGCCCAGCCGCTCCGCGGCATGTGGGATCTTCCCGGACCGCGGCACAAACCCGTATCCCCTGCATCGGCAGGCGGACTCTCAACCACTGCGCCACCAGGGAAGCCCAATACTGAAAAATTTAAAGGCCACATCTATATTCCTCAAGAGAATAGCTAAATAAATTATGAGGCATACATTCTAAATAAAACTAAAAATAATATAACTAAATAAGATACGATGCAAATAAATCATGATGAATCCTACTGGCTATAATGCTACCATTAAAACAAATAAAGTTTACTATCTTTGTAAGTACTAACATTGAAGGTCATAATATATTGAGCAAGAAAACCAAATTTCCACACCACTGCGTAACAGGATCTTGTATTTGTTTCATCTGCACCATGATGAGTGTGTATATATGATATATTCTGTAACTACTAATTCTAAGAATATGATCCTAAATTCTATTTTTTGTTTTTAACATCTTTATTAGAGTATAATTGCTTTACAATGGTGTGTTAGTTTCTGCTTTATAAGAAAGTGAATCACCTATACATATACATATATCCCCATATCTCTTCCCACTTGCGTCTCCCTCCCACCCTCCCTATCCCACCCATCTAGGTGGTCACAAAGCACCAAGCTGATCTCCCTGTGCTATGCAGCTGCTTCCCACTAGCTATGTATTTTACATTTGGTAGTGTATATATGTCCATGCCACTCACTTCATCTCAGCTTACCCCTCCCCGTCCCCGCATCTTCAAGTCCATTCTCTATGTCTGCGTAGTTATTCCTGTCCTGCCCCTAGGTTCTTCAAAACCTTTTTTCTTTTTGGATTCCATATATATATGTTAGCATACAGTATGTGTTTATCTCTTTCTGACTTACTTCACTCTGCATGACAGTCTCTAGGTCCATCCACCTCACTACAAATAACTCAATTTCGTTTCTTTTTATGGCTGAGTAATATTCCATTGTATATATGTGCCACATCTTCTTTATCCATTCACCTATTGATGGACACTTAGGTTGCGTCAATGTTCTGGCTATTTTAAATAGAGCTGCAATGAACATTTTGGTACATGACTCTTTTTGAATTATGGTTTTCTCAGGTTATATGCCCAGTAGTGGGATTGCTGGATCATATGGTAATTCTATTTTTAGTTTTTTAAGGAACCGCCATACTGTTCTCCACAGTGACTGTATCAATTTACATTCCCACCAACAGCGCAAGATGGTTCCCTTTCCTCCACACCCTTTCCAGCATTTACTGTTTGTAGATTATTTGATGATGGCCATTCTGACTGGTGTGAGGTGATACCTCATTGTAGTTTTGATTTTCATTTCTCTAATGATTAGTGATGCTGAGCATTCTTTCTTGTGTGTGTTGGCAATCTGTATATCTTCTTTGGTCTACTTAGGTCTTCTGCTCATTTTTGGATTGGATTGCTTGTTTTTTTGATATCACACTGCATGAGCTACTTGTATATTTTGGAGATTAATCCTTTGTCAGCTGCTTCATTTGCAAGTATTTTCTCCCATTCTGAGGGTTGCCTTTTCATCTTGTTTATATTTTCTTTTGCTGTGCAAAAGCTTTTAAGTTTCACTAGGTCCCATTTGTTTAGTTTTGTTTTTATGTCCATTTCTCTAGGAGCTGGGTCAAAAAGGATCTTGCTGTGATTTATGTCATAGAGTGTTCTATGTTTTCCTGTAAGAGTTTTATAGTGTCTGGCCTTACATTTAGGTGTTTAATCCATTTTGAGTTTATTTTTGTGTACGGTATTAGGGAGTATTCTAGTTTCATTCTTTTACATGTAGCTGTCCAGTTTTCCCAGCACCACTTATTTAAGAGGCTTTCTTTTCTCCATTGTATAGTCTCACCTCCTTTATCAAAAATAAGGTGACCATATGTGTGTGAGTTTATCTCTGGGCTTTCTATCCTGTGCCGTTGATCTATATTTCTGTTTTTGTGCCAGTACCATACTGTCTTGATTACTGTAGCTTTGTAGTATAGTCTGAGGCCCAGGAGCCTGATTCCTCCAGCTCCGTTTTTCTTTCTCAAGACTGCTTTGGCTACTCGGGGTCTTTTGTGTTTCCATACAACTTGTGAAATTTTTTGTTCTACTTCTGTGAAAAATGCCATTGGTAGTTTGATAGGGATTTCATTGAACCTGTAGATTCCTTTGAGTAGTATAGTCATTTTCACAATATTGATTCTTTCATTCCAAGAACATGGTATATCTCTCCATCTGTTTGTATCATCTTTAAATTCTTTCAACAGTGTCTTATAGTTTTCTGCGTACAGGTCTTTTGTCTCCTTAGGTAGGTTTATTCCATGGTATTTTACTCTTTTTGTTGCAATGGTAAATGGGAGTGTTTCCTTAATTTCTCTTTCTGATTTTTCATCATTAGTATATAGGAATGCAAGAGATTTCTGTGCATTAATTTTGTATCGTGCTACTTTACCAAATTCATTGATTAGCTCTAGTAGTTTTCTGGTAGCATGTTTAGGATTCTCTATGTATAGTATCATGTCATCTGCAAACAGTGACAGCTTTACTTCTTTTACATTTGGATTCCTTTTATTTCTTTTTCTTCTCTGATTGCTGTGGCTAAAACTTCGAAAACTATGTTGAATAACAGTGGTGAGAGTGGACAACCTTGTCTTGTTCCTGATCTTAGGGGAAATGGTTTCAGTTTTTCACCACTGAGAACGATGTTGGCTGTGGGCTTGTCATATATGGCCTTTATTATGTTGAGGTAAGTTCCCTCTATGCCTACTTACTGGAGGATTTTTATCATAAACGGGTGTTGAGTTTTGTCAAAAGCTTTTTCTGCATCTATTGAGATGAGCATATGATCTTTATCCTTCAATTAGTTAATATGGTGTATCACACTGGTTGATTTGCATATATTGAAGAATCCTTGCATTCCCGGGATAAACCCCACTTGATCATGGTGTATGATCCTTTTAATGTACTGTTGGATTCTGTTTGCTAGTATTTTGTTGAGGATTTTTGCATCTATGTTCATCAGTGATATTGGTCTTTAATTTTCTTTTTTTGTAGTGTCTTTGTCTGGTTTTGGTATCAGGGTGATGGTGGCCTCATGGAATGAATTTGGGAATGTTCCTTCCTCCACAATTTTTGGAAGAGTTTGAGAAGGATAGGTGTTAGCTCTTCTCTAAATGTTTGATAGAATTCACCTGTGAAGCCATCTGGTCCTGGACTTTCGTTTGTTGGAACATTTTTAATCACAGTTTCAATTTCATTACTTGTGGTTGGTCAGTTCATATTTTCTATTTCTTCCTGGTTCAGTCTTGGAAGGTTATACCTTGCTAAGAATTTGTCCATTTCTTCCAGGTTGTCCATTTTATTGGCATATAGTTGCTTGTAGCAATCTCTCATGATCCTTTGTATTTCTGCAGTGTCAGTTGTTACTTCTTTTTCATTTCTAATTCTGTTGATTTGAGTCTTTTCCCTTTTTTTCTTGATGAGTCTGGCTAATGGTTAATCAATTTTGTTTATCTTCTCAAAGAACCAGCTTTTAGTTTTACTGACATTTGCTACTGTTTCCTTCATTTCTTTTTCATTTCTTTCTGATCTGATCTTTATGATTTCTTTTCTTCTGCTAACTTTGGGGTTTTTTTGTTCTTCTTTCTCTAACTGCTTTAAGTGTAAGGTTAGGTTGTTTATTTGAGATGTTTCTTGTTTCTTGAGGTAGGATTGTATTGTTATAAACTTCCCTCTTAGAACCTCTTTTGCTGCATCCCATAGGTTTTGGGTCGTGTTTTCATTATCATTTGTTTCTAGGTATTTTTTGATTTCCTCTTTAATTTCTTCAGTGATCTCTTGGTTATTAATTAGTGTAATGTTTAGCCTCCAAGTGTTCGTATTTTTTAGATTTCTTCTTGTAATTGACATCTAGTCTCATAGCTTTGTGGTCAGAAAAGATACTGATACAATTTCAATTTTCTTAAATTTACCAAGGCTTGATATGTGACCCAATATATGATCTATCCTGGAGAATGTGCCATGAGCACTTGAGAAGAAAGTGTATTCTGTTGTTTTTGGATGGAATGTCCTATAAATATCAACTAAGTCCATCTTGTTTAATGTATCATTTAAAGCTTGTGTTTTCTTATTTATTTTCATTTTGGATGATCTGTCCATTGGTGAGAGTGGGGTGTTAAAGTCCCCTACTATGATTGTGTTACTGTCGATTTCCCCTTTTATGGCTGTTAGTATTTGCCTTATGCATTGAGGTGCTCCTATGTTGGGTGCATAAATATTTACACTTGTTATATCTTCTTCTTGGATTGATCCGTTGATCATTATGTAGTGTTCTTCTTTGTCTCTTATAATAGTCTTTATTTTAAAGTCTATTTTGTCTTATATGAGAATTGCTACTCCAGCTTTCTTTTGATTTCCATTTGCATGGAATATCTTTTTCCATCCCCTCACTTTCAATCTGTATGTGTCCCTAGGTCTCAAGTGGGTCTCTTGTAGACAGCATATATACAGGTCTTGTTTCTGTAACCATTCAGCCAGTCTGTGTCTTTTGGTTGGAGCATTTAATCCATTTACATTTAAGATAGTTATTGATATGTATGTTCCTATTCCCATTTTCTTAATTGTTTTGGGTTTGTTATTGTAAGTCTTTTTCTTTTCTTGTGTTTCCTGCCTAGAGAAGTTCCTTTAGCATTTGTTGTAAAGCTGGTTTGGTGGTGCTGAATTCTCTTAGCTTTTGCTTGTCTGTAAAGGCTTTAATTTCTCTGTCGAATCTTAATGAGATCCTTGCTGGATAGAATAATTTTGGTTGTAGGTTTTTCCCTTTCATCACTTTAAATATGTCCTGCCAGTCCCTTCTGGCTTGCAGAGTTTCTGCTGAAAGATCAGCTGTTAACCTTATGGGGATTCCCTTGTATGTTATTTGTTGTTTTTCCTTTGCTGCTTTTTTTTCTCTTTGTATTTAATTTTTGACATTTTGATTAATTTGTGTCTTGGTGTGTTTCTCCGTGGATTTATCCTGTATGGGACACTCTGTCCTTCCTGGAGTTGATTGACTATTTCCTTTCCCATATTAGGGAAGTTTTCAACTATAATCTCTTCAAATATTTTCTCAGTCCCTTTCTTTTTCTCTTGTTCTTCTGGGACCCCTATAATTTGAATGTTGGTGAGTTTAATGTTGTCCCAGAGGTCTCTGAGACTGTCCTCAATTCTTTTTATCCTTTTTTTCTTTATTCTGCTCTGCAGTAGCTATTTCCACAATTTTATCTTCGAGGTCACTTATCTGTTCTTCTGCCTCAGTTATTGTGCTATTGATTCCTTCTAGAGAATTTTTAATTTCATTTATTGTGCTGTTCATCTTGTTTGTTTGCTCTTTAGTTCTTCCAGGTCCTTGTTAAACGTTTCTTGTATTTTCTCTATTCTACTTCCAAGATTTTGGATCATCTTTACTATCATTATTCTGAATTCTTTTTCAGGTAGGCTGCCTATTTCCTCTTCATTTGTTTGGTCTGGTGGGTTTTCACCTTGCTCCTTCATCTGCTGTGTGTTTCTCTGTCTTCTAATTTTGCTTAACTTACTGTGTTTGGGGTCTCCTTTTTGCAGGCTACAGGTTAGTAGTTCCCATTGTTTTTGGTGTCTGCCCCCAGTGGCTAAGGTTGGTTCAGTGGGTTGTGTAGGCTTCCTGGTGGAGGGGACTGTTGCCTGTGTTCTGGTGGATGAGGCTGGATCTTGTCTTTCTGGAGGGCAGGACCATGTCCGGTGGTGTGTTTTGGGGTGTCTGTGACCTTATTATGATTTTAGGCAGCCTCTCTGCTAATGGGTGCAGTTGTGTTCCTGTCTTGCTAGTTATTTGGCATAGGGTGTCCAGCACTGTAGCTTGCTGGTTGTTGAGTGGAGCTGGGTGTTAGGTTTGAGACGGAGATCTCTGGGAGAGCTCTCGCCACTTGATATTACATGGAGCCGGGAGGTCTCTAGTGGACCAATGTCCTGAACTCGGCTCTCCCAACTCAGAGGTACAGGCATGACACCTGGACGGAGCACGAAGGCCCTGTCAGCCACACGGCCAGTTACGTGGGGAGTTTCTTGCCTTTTGGGAATTCTGAGGTCTTCTGCCAGCATTCAGTAGGTGTTCTGTAGGAGTTGTTCCACATGTAGATGTATTTCTGATGTATTTGTGGGGAGGAAGGTGATCTCCACACGTTACTCCTCCACCATCTTGAAGGTCTCTCCCCTTAATTCTAAATATGATTCTAACAATTATATATACATGTGTGTATATTATATATATTTATTTATCCTTATTTGTATAAAGGTGTCAAAAACATTAGGTCAAGAGTCATACCTCTGGGGAATCAGACTGAGGAAGGCCAAAAAAAAAGATGGTACTTTAATCAAAAAGGATATTATTCAATCATTAACTTATCCACAGAGGGTTCACATTACATTGCTAAATGATGAAAGCAGCTGGAGAAGCATTATAGGCAAGAAGATGCACATCTTCAAAAATATTTAACAGAAAAGTATGTGGAGGGTGTTAGCAGTATTTGCCTCCAGGTGGGTAGGATGAAGGGTATTTTTCTAGAAATTTTGATGGGGTAGGTGCACCAAAGAAAAGGAGAGAAGAATTAAAGAAATGGTGTGAGGAGCATGAAATATTCAGGAAAAGTAAGTGGTTCTGTGTGACTAAGGTAGAAAAAAATAGGAAAAGCAATGCAGGGCGAGAAGTTAAACTAAGCTTAACTATGCTTAGTCTTTAGAAATTCCCAGAATGGATATAAGGTTATTGGAGGTTTGAAGCAAAATGACATTTCAAAAATAGATTCAGAAAGAAAACTCTTTCAAATGAACTGGAGGTGGAGACTGATACAAGGAAACTCAGGAAGCACTTAGAGCCATGGTTTAAGAGTCTGAATTACAGCAGCTGTAACAGAAAGAGGCTGATTTGGGGACTTCAGGTAATAAAATAGATGGATTTGTGGTGGGTGAGGGAGAAGATAGGGTTGAGACTGACTTAGAGCTTTCTAGTCTGGGAAATCAGGTAGAGGATGGTAGCATTAACTGACATCACTAATACAGGACAAGCACTCTCTTTTAGTTTGGTTGTCTGGAGGACAACCTCATTTGTAAGACAATGAGTCTAATTTTGGATAACTTGAAATACCTACAGGTTATCTAAGCAGCAAGGTCTAGAAACTACAGGAGAATATAGGAGTAAGTTCAGAAGATAGGCAAAGAGCTGGAGATGCAAATCTCAGAGTCATATCTATAAAGTTTAAAAGTTTTCATGCTCACTACAACCAGTGATCAAAATCACTCCCCCCACATTTTAAACAAATGCTAACATCTGTATCTATCATTTCTTCCAGAAGTTTACAGTCTAAGAAACATGAAAACATATAAGACAATGCAGTTGTGGACCATGACTTGAAAAAAAAGAGATTTCTGATAAAAGAACATCAAGCACATTAAAGGTATCTAAATAGTCAATGGTAATACTATTTTAGCTTTTAAAAAAATCAGTGGAGAATGGTGGTTACCAGGGACTAGGGGGAGAAGGTAGAGGAGTTACTGTTTAATGAGTACAGAGGTCCAGTTTTGCAAGATGAAGCATTCTGGAGATGGTGGCTGTGATGGTCACACGACAATATGAATGTACTTAATACCAGTGAAATGTACACTTAAAAATGTTTAAATTTTATGTTGCATGTATTTTACCACAGTACAAAAAAATTGGAGAAATCAAAATAAAACAGAAATCTACTGAGGGCTTAGTCAGTGTTTTCTAAAAGAATCATAGGTAGACACAAATCTAGCAGAGAAGAAGATCCAAATTAGCAATGGCTGATAGAGAAAGTGAAAACCAAGAGCCACACAGACAGTCTGAGCAGGAGGAAGAAACACTGTTTTCTCAGGACAATGTTGATATGAAAACACAAAGTATCAAGGGAAAAAGCCATAAGCAGGAATAAACAGATTCTGAGACCAAAACCCAGTACTTAAAAGGTCAGTGGTACATATTTATTTTAAATAATCATTTACATAAATCCTACTATGTTTAATTAAAAAAAATTTTTTTTATTTTTAAACTTTTTATTGGAGTACAGTTGATTAACAATGTTGTGTTAATATCACGTGCACAGCAAAGTGAATCAGTTATACATATACATATAGCCACCTCTGTTTTTAGATTCTTTTCCCATATAGGCCATTATAGAGTATTAAGTAGAGTTCCCTGTGTTATGCAGTAGGTTCTTATTAGTTATCTATTATATATAGTGTGTATATGTCAACCCCAATCTTCCAATTTATCCCTCCCACATAAATCCTATGTTTTAAACTCTACACTTCTACCTATACCCGCAAATAATTCAACATGAAAGTTTTCAATATTACAAAAATCGGTACCTTCAAAACATAATGTAACAGGGAAGAGAGAATTCTGACTCCATGTTGGTTCTGTTTCTTTTACTTTAATCTTTGCTTTTCGTTGCTTTTGTTATAGCTGTAAGCATAGATAATGGCCTGCCACAAGGAACCCTGCCCCTCTGCCTGTTAAACTAAAAGGCCTTTGTTCAGCTCACAGACAGACATTCTGACCCTGACCACCTGTGAATGGCTACAGAAAAGAAGAAATTAACACATCCCTTCCCCATGCAGGTCGAGGGAGGAGATTTTGCAAGAAAAATGGCCTTTTTACTTTACTTCCTCACCTCCTCCCCCTGTCTGTTCTATAAAAGAAACTGGCATCCTGACCCCAATAAGATGGTTTTTGGGTACACTAGTCCGCCATCTTCTCGGTCTGCCGGCTTTCCAAATAAGAGTCGCTATTCCTTGCCTCAACACCTCATCTCCCGATTTACTGGCCTGCCCTGAGGTGAGCAGAATGAGCTTGGACCCGGTAACAGTAACATGTTTTTCAAAAACAGTAACGTAAAAACTTACTTTATCTGGAATTCTTGACTTCGTAAATTTGTGACGAATCCAATCTGTACGAACAAGGGGCTCCACACCTTTTGTCACCATCTAAAATATGCCATAAAACATTTGATTTTTAGAACTCTATCTAGTGCAGAAATCATAACCTACCAATTTTTAGGTGACAAAATCTAACCTAACCTGTAATTATTAAACATTTATCTCAGCCCCCTAGCTGAATGAATACATCTCATCTTACCACTAACATGAAAAAAACACATTAAATATAAACTTCTAGACCAGCAGCTGGCAATATTTTTCTGTAAAGAACCAGACAGTAAATATTTCCAGCTCTGGGGCTACACAGTTTCCGCAGCCAAGTCTCAGCTCTGCCACAGCAGGGCGGAAGCAGTTGTTGACAATATGTAAACAAATCGGTGTGGCTATGTTTCAATAAAACTTTTACAAAAATAGGTGGTGGGCTGAATTTGGCTTGTAGGTTGTAGTTTGTCAGTGTGCTCTAGACAACATACGATAATTCAGCTTCAGCAATACAGTGTAAAAGAAAGCCAAAATGAGTTTCCAGTTTTCTTTCTAGTCCCAAGAATGCCATCAACTCCTGTTTCCTGTCTCTTGTTCCCTTTCTACAATCTTCCAGTCGTGTTTCTCTCAGGCTGCAGAAGAAAAAGGATTCACTGCTAATCCTTCATACCAGGAAACTCCTCTGGGTGGAAAATAATCATTCCCTTCATGCCCTCCCTGTACTGCAGAGATGGTATAAACAATGGGAGAATAAGCAGGAGGGAATTGGGGGTTAGGGGGAGACTGGTGAAGGACATGGGCTTTGACATACCAGGAACATTGGGCCTCTAATCCTGCTCTGTACTTACCAGCTGTGACATATGAGATACTTATCCTCTCAGAGGGTCGGTTTCCTCAGCTATAAAAAGAAAATAATACTTACCAACCAGGATTAATCTGAGGTTAAGGTAAGTGTGTAAAGCACCTGGCATTATTATTATCTAAAGGCAGCAGCAGGTCCTATCTAGACTCTGGACCTCATGAATAGATTAAGCTGCACCACTGAAATTTCTAAAAGAAAGACTGGAAGGAAATACATGAAAGTACAAACATTAATGGTCTCTGGGAAACTGTTTCTCTTCTTTCTGCTTTTCTACATTTTTCTAATTTTCTATTACTGAAAATGGACTCTTCATAACTGAAGGAAAAAAAAATCTAAAACTTTCAAAAGATTAAGGTGGGCCATGGGGAATCAACACTAGCCATTTTTTACCAGCATTTTCTCCAGAAAAAGGTCTTTTGTGATTTCAGATCTTTAGGGATAAAACAGCAGATAAACCACAAATAAAATTAACGTTCAACATTAAAAAAGTATATATATATATATATATATATATATATATATAAAGAAACTTAAAATTTTAACTTGCCTGTATGTTTTGTTAATTAGAAAAGAGAGAAAAAGTTCTTAAGGAATAGGAAAAAAAAAAGATCATTCTTGAAAAGAAATACTTACTTGTAGTCTGCCTGGGGGCCTCTGAACTATTGAGCGCAAAATCCCTGCCATGAGTGTGGTGACTGTTCTCCTTAGGGGCTGTGAGAAGTAGAAAACAGATCTGTGGGTCAGGTATGTCTTAGAAATGGATAGCTCAAACTGAAAAACTGGATGAAGTTTAACAGCAAAATCTTGATTGTTTTAATACACTAAGGACAAGAATTAAGTTACAATGGATGTTTTATTGAGAGTTCAAGAAAACCATAGGAAGTAATTATACATTAACCATATCCCATTTTCACCAAAGAGTTAAATTACACCCTAGGCTGATTCAACAAAAATAGGCAATGGAGGTTACTATCATTTAAAAAATCTTCAACAGCGAGGGCAGATTCTATGCTTTGCTATAGAATCAAAAAAAAAAAATTAAAGAGCTGGAAGGGACTGAAGAAATCCAAACTCCCAATTAGGACTGACAACGCTCTTACTTTATTTATGAGGAAAATGAATCCCAGAGAATTCAATCATTTACCAAAGGGCATCCAGCTTTCAAGAGAGTATATGGTCTGGAACCCAAACCTCCTAATACCTAGTCCAGCATATTTTCACTAAATCATAACACCCTTCTGTTAAATAAAGCAGAATGTTCTTTTTTGCTTATTTACATTTTTAGACTATTCTTAACGAACATGCATTGCATTTATAAACTAAAGGTCATGTTTATTTAGACACAAAACAATTATAGTGTACCGACTTAAACTGAATGCAGAAAGATTAAGTTCATGAACTACATGTATATTTTGGACAGGTTACTTAATTTGTATGTTTCAATTTTTCCCCCCAAAGAACAGAAAAAAAAATAATACCTATCTTGCAAATGAATTACTCTGAAAACACCTAAAACAGTACTTGGCACATAGAAGCCCTCAATAAATGGTAGTTTTTACTATTATAATATCATTTAATTATTACAAAGCTATAATAAGAATACCCTAACATGCCAAAAGAGGGCAAGTACTGTATTTCAGTGCCCACTAGATTCTGGCTCACTCGAGCTCTGCAGGTCTTTCCTGGGGTGTGGACAAAGCAATGAAGCTACTGGAATCAATGCGAGATGCCCCATTAGAAGGGCCTGACTTCAGAAAAAGTCTCAGCAACCGAACCAGTCTCTCAAAACTAATTACGTATCAGTTTTAAAAGAGTTAACTACTATATCTTTACGCCCTGAAAACAAGAATTCTGTCTTGTTCATCTTCTACTCTCAGCATCTGGCACACCATCTGATGTACAGTAGGCACCCAGTGTTTGTTGATGAATGTCTGAATCAGTTAATGCGTTAGATCCATGGTCCGCTCAACTCAGAATTCAGAAGTACATCAGAATTTCATAACTGCCATTCGGACTTCAGACCTCAAACATTACAATACAGCAGAGCAATTTCTAGTTCACATCATCCAGTTTGCTTGGCTGGTTGTTTAGATCCTTTGTATCAAGGCTTCTTTAGAAGAGACGCTTAATCCTCCGGCCCTCCCATCAAACAGACAATGCTAAATTATTTTCTCTACCATACTCATTCCTCCCAAGTTAAGCGTTAGGTACTAACACAACTTATTTAGCTTCACTCTTTGTTAAATCTTTCTCTTATCACTTAGATTTCAACAAGAGCCTCCTAACTGGCCTTCCTGCTTCTATTCTAACTTCCCCAAGGTCTTTTCTCCACAGCAGCAATAATCTCATTAAGTCCGAAATCAGATAATGTCAACTCCTCCGCTCAAAACCTTCCAATGAGCCAGGTTTCTCATTATCAGAGTAGGAGGTTACACACAGGCCAGAGAGGAAGGCTACAATGATCCATGTGATTCAATGACAGAGGATTAGTGTTGGAACTCATGTTTAGCTTAATATAGATATGATGGATATAGAAATAATTACAGATACATATACACACATGGGTTAGCTCTGTTAGCCAAGAGGACCTAAAGGCAATGGCATCCCGGTAGCGATGAGCATGCCCAGTGCCCAGATCTTAGTTTCTAATGGCATTCTCTAAAAAAAAAGAACCAGGACTCCTTGGAGAAATGGCTGATTATATGGCTGTAGCACGGAATATATAATGGTGAGTCTGGAGCACCTAGTGCTAGAATGGAACTACTCAAAAAATCAAAATGATGGGGGTATGTCAAAGGGACCAGAAGCCAAATGAAAGAGCTCCCAGTGGCTACAGCTGAAATAATGTGAGCAACAAAATAAGTAACAAAGTATTGGCTTATAATCCAAAACATAAACTAACCATGAGTCCATACTGATATAAATAGATGAATAAATTAATTAATGAGAGAGAAGAAACAAATCTCCCTTACAGAAGAATTTCAAATAATTTATGTAGACACTCCCCTCTCAAAGAGGTGGAGTAAAGCTATCAACCCTGAGGCATGGGCTATGCTTAAACACTTGCTACCAGAATATAGTATAGAAAGGGGGGAAATACTGTTACAATAGAGGAACCTAACAAACACTGTGTCATCGAGGTGATTTAACATCAATTGTGATAAAAGTCAAGCTGATAGCATGTATCCTTGATATGATGGAATGAGAATGGCACTTCACCTCTATGTCTTCCTTCCAAAAACCCCTAACACTTCTCTCACAGAAATATATCAGACAAACTCCAATTGGAGGACATTGTACAAAATACTTGACCAGTACCTCCTCAAAAACCTGACTGCCTCGAAACTGTCAAGGTCATCAAAACCAAGGAAAGTCATAGTCAAACTGTCATAGTCAGGAGGAGCATTTGACAACTAAACACAATGTGGTATCTTGGATGGTATTCTGGAACAGTAAAAGGACATCAGGTAAAAACTAACAAAATCTGAATGAAGTATGACCTTTAGTTGATAACGTATCAATATTGGCTCATCAATTATAACGAATGTACCATACTAATGTAAGATGTTAGTAAAAGGGGAGACTTGGTGTGGGGGGTATGTAGGAACTCCATACTATTTTCATAACGTTTCCATAAATCTAGTTATTCCAAAATTAAAAGTTTATTTATTACAAGACTAAAAAGCTCCAATGCCTCTCCATTTCAATCAGAGTGACAGCCAGTGCTAAACCCCCGCCTTGAGGACACCACCTCCATACTCTTGGTCAATCACTACACACACTGGCCCCGTTGCAGGTCCTGGAACCTGCCATGCAGGTATACTCCCCTGACTGGCTGTTCCCTCTCCTGGAATGCCCCTGATATCCACATAGTTAACTCTCTTACATCCTTCAATTTCTGGCCTAATTCTCAAATTCTCAATGAGTTCTACCCTGACTCCATTATTTAACATTTTGACCCAAACTACAATTGTCAGCACTCCCAATCTCTCTTACTCTCCTTGATTTTCTTTCCATAGCATTTAACATCTTCTAACATAATTTAATTTTTTGTTAGGTTTGTGGTTTATTGTCTGTTCCCACCCAACAGCATGTTGGTTCCACAAGCACAAAGATTTTAAAATTTTCTTTTGTTTTAGGCTTGCTCTGTCTATTCACAGATGTATCCCAAGCATCTACCTAAAGCAGCACTGCCATGTAGCAGCCACTCAATTAATTCTTGCTGAATGAATGAAGTGTCATTTACATACTTCAGAATGTGTGACAGTCAAAAGTTGTAAGTTTCAATAAAGGTTATTCTTAATAATTAGGCATGTAACTCTTGGACCTTGAAGCAATTATACTGTCTTTCACCGTACAATTAAGTTTCTCTTGCAAAGACACAAAAGCAGGAAAATAAATGCACCATAGGAAAAGGATGATCCCATTTCCATTAATTAAAAAAAAAAAAGATGTCTGTGAATGTGTGTGTAAACAGAGAAAAACTCTGGAAGGCTATCAGAGAAACGTTAGCATACCCAGGGAGAGGAGGGCTGGCTACCAGGGCTATTTCCGCCCCTCCCCGACGTCCCACACCCCCGTAATGTCTGATAGGTTTGTTGTTGCTCTTTTACAATGACCATGCGCGTAACTGTTCTTTAAAAAAAACTAACTCCTTTTCTAAAGAGACATAATGGTAAATGGGGGGGGGGGCACTACTGAAAATGCAGAACATAGGATTTCCCTTTCAATAAATCGACATCTCTGAAGGCAAGAAATGTCTCTTGAACTCCTAATGCCTTCTAGGCAGGCGTCCGAAGTGCCTCTTGGAATAAACAAAACTAAACAAAAAACCGCGGAAAAAGCAGCTCTGGGTAGGCGGCGATCAAAACGCGGTTGCAAAATCACGGCTTTTAGTAAAACGGTAAATATTTTAACTGTCAACTTCACAGGATTTACGTTCTAAAATGCGGCAATTTTTAAATTAGGCAATCTTGTATCTCCATCAACAATTCAAGTTAGGCTGACCCCAGAGGAAAGCCGAAGTTATGCATAAAGCAGAAGCACAGAAAATGTTAAAACATACTTGAATTCCCTTTCCCGCCAGACTGCGCAGCCGAGGCGGCTCTGTCCTCGAGCTCCAGGAGGCGGGGCTCCACATGCCGCGTCCCGGGATTCCACAAACTGGGAAATGGGATCCAGCCGGCCAGTGGCTTTTCGGGAGCCCAAGGGACAGTACCTGGACGTAGTTCCATTCAGGTTACTGTGACCCGTAAACACAGAATCGAATGGAGAAAATCAATCCGCATCTGCATAGGGTTCCCAGATATGTACTCCTGAAAAAAATGCACTACTTTCGGCCACTCATTCCCCACTCACCAGCAATTCCTAAATGTCTTTCAGCCTGAAGCTCACCACTCAGGGGAACCGGAACAGAGAAAGGACCCAGAGTGCCACACTCAAATCCGGCCTTCACAGTGCACACACCCTGGCATTTTAGTTCCGGCGGAGTCCCTCCCACTCAGGCATCATAAAAAGAGAGCGCAGGCGCATTGGAGTCACGTGACCGCTCCCGGCAGCGCTGCAGACCCGACAGCCTAGGGGCAGGTTGGGGTGGCAGGGAGTTGCTGGCATTATGGCGGGGTCTATCCAGGGTCAGGACTCTGGAAGCACAGCTGCAGTCACTGTGATAAAGCGGGCGTTGGAACTAGAGTCCGAGTCCCGGTACCCGCAGGCTCTGGTGTGTTACCAGGAGGGAATTGATATGCTCCTGCAGGTTCTGAAAGGTGAGCAGTGAGCCGGGGAGGGAGGACTAGAGGAAAAGGAGCTGCAATCTGCTGTGTCTGGGCGGGAGTGAAAGATTAAAACGCTTACTGTGCACAGCGAGAAAGCCTTAAAATACAGAACGTAGGGTAGTCTACAGGACAGGTGGACTGATTTCTTTGATATCGTTAGTAGATTAATGTTGTCAATAAAAGAGGGATTACTATCCTAGAATTTTAAGAGACGTAACCAAATGTAATAGATAAGCCTCGAAAGGACTTGGGTTTGAATGAACTGTAAAAGACGTTTTGGGATCAAGTTGGAAAGGTTGAATATGGATTGGGTAGCATTAAAATTAACTTTGTTAGGCAGCATGGTATTTTTCGAAATCTGTTCTTAATTTTAGAGATGAAGCCTGAAGAAGTGTTTAGAGAAGAATTGTCATGATGTCTGAATTTGATTTTACTTTAAAAGAAAGTTGAAGCAAATATGGCAAAATGCTAACAATTTTTAAATCTAGGTGGTGGGTAATAAGGGTGTTCGTTACACCCTTTTCCTTACTTTTCTCATTAAACATTTTAATTAAAATTTTTTTTTTTTTTTTTTGGCCGTGACCCGCAGCATGTGGGATCTTAGTTCCCGGACCAGGGATCTAACCCGCGCTCCTGTATTGGAAGCGCGGAGTCTTAACTACTGGACCGCCAGGGAAGTCCCTTCATTAAAAGTTTAAAAATATATATATATTTTTAAATTAGAAATGGGTATACTGACATTCGGTGTGAGAAATGTACAGGATTGTGAGAGGAGACAGTTAAGACTTTCTGTTACATGGTTATTCAATGTTGAGAGGTACACAGATAACCCTTATCACCCAGTACAATCCCTGGTAGGTAGTAAACACCTAGTAATTATGTATTAAATTGACTTAAGACCAGCCCCTGCTCCCCAGCCCCTGGGGCTCTTAGTCTGGCCTCAGATCTCCTCTCTGTGCTTTTTAGCCTGAGTGTTTCTGATTTGTTTCAGAAGCTTTGAGATAGTAGAGGCTGCTTTTCAATGTTCAGCACTTTTCTCAGAATGGTAAAACTCTACCTTGGGCAGGGACCATATGATGATGATGATGACGGTGATGATGGTGGTGATAATGAGAGTAACATCATTTGTGAGTGCTGAGTGCCAGGCAGTGTGCAGAGCACGTTAAAAGCATGATCTCAATTCATTCTTACAATTGCCTTATGAAGTAGGTGATGTTATCCTCATTTTACAGCATAAAAAATAAAGTTTGCTTTCCAGTTCTGCCACAATTGGTAGAGTCACAGCTGAAACCCAAGGCTTTAAAGACTCTACTATACTGACTCTCAGAAAGAGAGATGGTGTACATTGTTCGACTCTGAAGCAGCAGCATCACAGCAGTTCTGCTCCTCTGTGCTCCACTGATCCTGTGGGGCTTAGAGAGACAGTGACGTGATCTTGCAGGTTAAGATGTAAATGCAAATTACTCTAATACAGGGAAGAAGTGCCAGGAGCCATAATGACAAGTGCAACGAGGATTTAAACAGTTAACAGTCATTGGGGGATGGAAAGGTTTGGGTGGCTTTTGATAGGGGTTTTGGAGGGATGAGTAGAATTTCAGAAATTCAGCTGAAAGTGTTCCAATTCTGTCCGTACTGTTTTACCAAACAAGTGGCATAGGTCTGTAGAGAAAGAGTGAGAAGTAAAGATTAAAGGTAGACTGGGGCTTGGAGCACACTGCAGATGGCCTTGGCTGCCAGGAGATTTTAACTCATTCCATTGACAAGGAGAAACCATTTAAAGTTTTTACAAAGGAGTGACGTAATTAAAGTTGCATTTCAGGGCTCGGCTCTCTTAGGAATATGCTTTTCTCCCAAATATTTGCATGACCTACTCCCGCTCCTCTTCCAGGTCTTTACACAAATATCACCTTATTTGTGAGGACATTCTCTGACCCCCAGTGTAAAATTACAACCCCCATCCCAGGACTCCCTTATCCTTCTTCCTTGCTTTATTTTATTTAATAGGACTTACCACAATCTAACATACATGTTTTACCAATTTATTTATTTATTTTAAATCCATTCATCTGTCAGTGAACACTTAGATTGCTTCTACCTTTTGACTATTGTGAATTTCCCATTGCTTATTTATTTATTTGGCTGCGTTGGGTCTTTGCTACTGCGCATGGGCTTTCTCTAGTTGCGACGAGCAGGGGCTACTCTTTGTTACAGTGCGCGGGCTTCTCATTGCGGTGGCTTCTCTTGTTGTGGAGCACGGCCTCTAGGCACGTGGGCTTCAGTAGTTGCAGCACGCGGGCTCAGTAGTTGTGACTCACGGGCTCTAGAGCGCAGGCTCGGTAGTTGTGGCACATGGGCTTAGTTGCTCCGTGGCATGTGGGATCTTCCCGGGCCAGGGATTGAACCCATGTCCCCCTGCATGGCAGGCCCCCCTGCATCCCATGTGCCACCAGGGAAGTCCTACCAATTTATTTTTATTGTTGTCTTTCCTCTCATTTGAATGATAGGGGAGGACTTAACTGCTACGTCTCCAGTGCTTAGAACAATGCCTGGCATGTGGTAAGTTCTCAGTAAATATTTCTTGAATAAATGAGTGAATATGGCAGGAGCGTAGGAGAGACATTAACCTGAAGATACTGAAGTCAAGCAGACCAACTAAGGAGCTCCTGCAGAAGTCAAGATGAGAGGTGATAAGGGCCTGAATGAACCAGGGGGGCAACACCAGTATTAGGAAAGGGAGGGGACAGTCTGGACATTGAATTACTGGCACTGGCACGTGATTAGATGTTGGAATGGGAATTGAAGATGGCTGTATGATTTCAAGCCTGGAAAACCAAGGCATGTTTGAAGAATGGGTCTATAGTATCAAACTCTGATCAAGGATGATGATTAAGAAAGGAGTACTATATTTGTAGAGGACAGGGAAAATAGAGTATATTTATAGGCAGGAGCAAAGTAACAGTAGAGCTTAAGAAAAGAGATGTTAGATAAAATGTTCTAAAGGAAGCTGAGAGGGAGGTGTATGGAAAAAATTATGTAGATGATAATCATATTGACATTTATTGAGTATTTCCTACACACAGGTCTCTTTCATAATTAATCATCTCCACAACTCTCTAAGGTACTGTTACTCTTTCTGTGCTACAGATGAGGTTGCAGAAAGGTTGAATAACTGGCCAAGGTCACATAGGCAAAAGTGACAAAGCAAGTTTTGAACTAGAACTGCCTGACTCCAGATGCTTTGCTGTTAACCACTTTTCATACTGCCTCTTTGTAAAGAGTCCGTAAAATGCTGAATCCTGACGAAAAGTTCAAAGTTTCTGAGTTTAGAGGAACATATATCAACGTAGTGGAAGAGTATGAGTTCTCATATCACCTTAGGACAAAAAACAGGATTCTCCACAAGAGATTTATGGATGATATATGGGTATATTAGGATTTTCTTATGCTACTGTAGTATAGGCATGAGAAAGTGGGGATCTAAATGATATTAATTTTGGCAGTAGAAGAACTTGAAAGGGAAGGATTTCAGTAATTATATGGATATCAACAAAGGGTTGGAAACAACTTAAATGCCCCTGGGTAGGAGAGTGGTTGCATAAACCATGGTACAGCCAAACAATGGAGTACTATACTGCTGTAAAGAGGGTTGAGCAAAATCTTTGTGAAGTGATATGGAGTGATTCCCAGGATATATTGTTTAGTGAAAAGGACGAAGAGTAGCTATAGTATGGTAACCTGCATGTAAAGACAAAGATATAAGAAGATTTTCATGTGTCTCCTCATTTGTTGAAAAGAAACACAGGAAGGATAAAACCAGAAACTAATGAAATTAATTACTTAATATGCGGTGGGTGGGAAAGAGGTGGGAAGAAAGGAGAAATGGGAGTAGGGTAGCAGGATGAGGAGGGAGTGAATAACTTCTCTAAGTTATTCAATTGTTATACATAAAGGAGAGTGAAAGAAATAGGTAACCTAAGCATCTTTGGAAAATAGCATTTTGGCTGTATTCTGTAAAGTTAAAGACAAAGTGAACAGTATACAAACATTGTATTATTTTAATTGGTAAATTATTTTCTCACAACGGTATGGGTTAGGAATTCTCAAACTATTTTATGTCTATACTAGGCTTGAACAAGCCAGTAAATATATTGTGGATAATAAAAGAAGTTACAGGTAAGGAAAGGAGGAAGGCTAGAATGAACCCTATGGGATCAAAGTAATCAGCATGAATTCATGGTTTTTAATATAGATACAGATGGACAGACATAGAAATAGAGTTGTATGTGTGTGTTAGTAAACCTCCACGTACTTTCTACCTGCATTGACGGAAAGGGTCTAGAGGTAGTGTTAAGACTCCCTGAGTAGCAGTGAGCACAGTTAGTACCCAAAATATGATTTCTTGATACCATTCTCCAATAAAAGGG